GGTTACCCGGAACGGTATCGGCCCTCTGCGACGCCTGGCCGCTTTTAGACTGCGTCGATGTCTATCTCTGTTTGGCGTGCGGTTTTGTACCCCCAATCTGATCGATTTGCCATCAACTTGTTGCCCCATAACATCTTAAACAAAACACAGTGCCTATGTTGTGCTAGCTGAGAGCCGAGACAGCAGTGACTCGTTCCGGCTCGTGTCAGGCTGGAGAGGAGCGTTTCCGGTCTTGAGGCGATAGTGTCTGATGAGGGGTACATCAGAGGCCGAAAATGGGGGAACAATTGGCCACTCACTGGTAGTGGGGTGACCGGTGGGACAGAGGGTGTAAGGGGTCTATTTTTGCACCCCTTTTCCTTCCATCAGACCCGTTCTGCCTGGGCGGGGAAACGCTTTCCCAAGTTGAACCAGTCGTCAACTTCATTGTCGTGTATGGTCTCCTCAACAATGAAGTACAAGAACCATGCGTTGTGCTGGGAATGGGAGGTGTTTTGGCCACGGAACTCTTTCTTTCGGAGCTTCTCATACCTACACTTCCTTACCTACTTTGCTAGCAAGATGCTGTAGTCAAGCCGTCATGTTCACTCGGCGCGAACTGACCTCTAGGTAAGGTAGACAGGTTCCTCACAATCAGCAATTGGTCACAATCAGCAATTGGTTTCCTCGTTGATCAGAGTCAAAAATTAGGTCATTATTTTGTATGGACAAAAAATCCCGTGTATCATTCCTCATCCTCATTCCAAGATCCTTCGACCCCCCAATCAAGGTCGCTCGGCGTACAGCTTGACGGCCTCGCAACCCCACGATGGATGGGGAACACCGCCAATCTGCAGCACATAGCCCATCCACGCGTTGCAGTAGTACCAGTCCCTCTGGCCCTGGAAGTCGCACCTGAGCTCCCAGTCCGCCTCCGAGATGGAGCAGGTCACGGGAACGAGGTTGTCGCTCTGGCGCCGCGCCGCGTCGGCGTTGAAGACGGCGCCAAAGGCCCCCGCGCCCCTGGACACGAGAAGCTGGCCGAGACGCGGGTGCTGCTCGACGAACAGGGAGTTGTCGGCGGGGGAGCTGAGGCTGAAGACGGTGGCTTGTCCGCGGCTGCCGAAGCTCTCTGGAGAAGGGGGGGGGGCATCAGTAGTCTGTTCCGTGCCATGAAAAGAACATATCATGGAGAAGAGAGAAAGGGAGCGAGTACGTACGGACGAGCGACGCAACGTTGCTCTCAAACTGCCACGAGTAGGCGAACCGACCGTTGGCTCGGCCGCCCACCGCGCGGAGAATCTGGGTCATTCTGTTAGTCCTGTTGTTCGCGACTCTCGGACCAAGTGCCGTCAACGTACAAAGCGATCCCAGGGGCGGGGCTGCACGACCGCGGTGGCGACTGCGGTTGCCGTGCGGGACTCGGTGTTCCTGACTGTCGTAGGCACGACAGTCGTCACCGTCTCGACGACGCCGACCGTCACCTGCGCGGTCACGGTCGAAGTGGACGTGACCTTGACGGTGGGCGTGGCCACGGTAATGGTCGCCGGGCTGATGCCGATGCAGGAGCAGGCGGATGAGTAGGCCTCGGTGCTGCGGCACGCGGTGGCGTACGTGGGCATGGCCGAGGGGACCTCCGTCACTTGGCGCTTCTCCTGGTTCTCGCCATCCTCACGCTTGCGTGCGGGGACGGCGGTGATGGTCGTCGTCAGCGTCTGGGTGGTGACGTCGACAGTGTCGACGACGGTGACGGTGGTCACCTGTACGGCAATATCGGTGCTGAAGCTCGTCGCCGTCTGGGTGGTGGGCGTAACGGTCTCCCAAATGGTCTCGGTGCTGGACTCGAGATTAGCATTTTCTCCAGCAAGAATAAGACGCATGGCGAACGGGTATTCATACTAGGCGGCGGGCGTCACTGTCTGGCGGAGAAAGGACGAGCAGTCGGCGACGGTAGGACGGTTAGGGAAAGAGCCAGCAATAACCTTTGAAAACGTTAGTGAACAGTCCTCTGAGGCAACCCGACGAAGATGAATCTCACAGCACGCAAGCAGTTGTTGTGCGAGCACTTGGACGTCGTGGCCGCCTGGGGCATGGCCTGGACAGTGCCGAGCAAGAGCCCCATGGCCAGGGGAACGGTAGGCGCAGAGTACTTCATGTTGTCGGTACCTTCTTTCGATCTCAGTCGAGGTGTTGTGGTGAGGATCAGGAGCGGTGCTGGGCCACGGACGGCAGCCCAAGGCAAGATGCCTTCAGTCAGCTTTATACATTCCCATCCTGTCGTTTCCTCACCGATATCTGCGAGCAACCGAGGATCACGGCCACGATGTCCCTGTAGCGCCCTGGATATTGGAATTGCGGAGTCTCGGGCGCCCCGAATGCGGTCAGCTGGATGCCATGACAGCTGTGAGGCCTCGTCAGTTAACTCTCCGTGGCATATGGCCCTTCTCAACCTGGTGTTGAACGTGCTGTGGCGTCCCTGACCACGAGGGCGCCTTTCCCCAAGAGGCATGCCAAGGTCGGACGGCGCGTGCTGCACCCCTGTTGCGAACCTGACTAGTGGTTTTTCCCCTTAACCCACCGCCTCGTTTGATGCCAATCGCGAAGCCCTGCAAGGGTACGAGCTGAAAGGCCAGATGCCCATGGGCCTCAATAGCATACTTGGTAACCATATTTCTGCTCAGCTTGGTGTCTCGATGCGGTTCGCAGGCCGCCGAACCCGTTGCGTGGGTGCGGGGCAAAGCGTTGAAGGGCATGGCGTTCGGGAGGGCGGCGCCCTCCCGCCTGTCTGAAGCCATGTGGCTGGGCCCTTTTATGGCAGGCGATACGTCTATCTCCCGAGAGCATGGACCTAGATTGTGACTATTTTTGCGTGTTGGCATCGTTTGTTGACATGGTCTGGAAGCTGCTGGGGAGAATCGCGCGTTTTGGCTGCTCCTCATGGTATGCAACAAGGGGCTGCTGGCATCGAGCTGTGGTGATCATGAGCACGAGCGGTTCGCACAGAGTTATGTATCAGCATCAGACAGACGGAGCACAGCTGACTAAATCAAATTGTTCGTATGATTCTTGAGGACAGGGTCAGTATGAAGGGACCTCGTCCTGCATCAAAGCCCTTGACATTTCGTTGCGGTTTTGTTAAAGCCAGAACTCCTATCGGACGCATATCATCGTCCTCTTGCGCCTAAGTAGACGATCAGTTCGTGAAAAGAACCAGTGAGGCCCAGATGGCGTGCATCTCATTGCCCTAGCCACCGTTGGCAAGCCCTACCACCGATCTAGGCACGTAGCCCGTCAGCCATAGCCGCGCTGGTCTCGCGGCACCAGCACGGGCATCGACGTGGCTGACGGCCTGTTGTCAAAAATGCCTGGGGGTGTAAGATGGGCTCCATGTTCATAGCTTTGGAACGCCTTATATTGAGTCTGCGCGAAACCGTTGAGTATGCTAGAAATTAGCTTCAACAACGGAAGACCACGAGTCATGGTGCAAGACAGAACCACGAGAGCCGACTTGAAGAAAAACAAGCCCATCGACGCTTGCTCGCCTTCGTCGACCAAAGTCGGCATTAAATCACCACTGTGATTGCCTGTCTTGTCTGGTCATCTCGTAACCCAGACACCATGGCCGCATTTACAAGCGCACATGTGCGAGGCCTTTGAGCCCGACGGTGAAATACGTCGCTTACTAGTGTCCGGAGAAAGTGAGATAAAGTAGACATAAGATTCCAGAGACCGCCCTTTGCGATGACGGTCCGTTCGTACGCCGCTTGCAGCCCATCGAACTCGATGGTCTGCATACCAGCACCTGCGTGGATGTGACCAAATACATGCAACCGAGGGCGCACTCGCCAGAGTTCTCGCAGGAGGTGGTTGCATCCCAGATGCAAAAGGTCGCAATGGCTTCGCGGCGGGCCGTGAGTGACAAGGACGTCGGTTCCATCTGGGATCGCGCCGTGCCAGACATCATCGGCCCGGGGGTACTGGAAGGCCCAGTTGCCGTGTCGTGGGGAGAGAGGGCTCCCATAGATCCGGAGGCGACGCCCATTTGAGCACGTCACGTCAACATGCTGGTTTTCGAGATAGATGATTCCTTTCCAAGCAAGAGAGGCCCGAAGCGCCTCTGGTGACCTGGAGGGATCGGCGGTAGACCTGGATCTGTTCCCAGTGGCATCCTGCTTGGCGTCAAGGAGGACATCGTGGTTGCCTGCGACGACAATCTTGATGGGATGTGGCTGGGAGGAAAGCCAGTCTACAGCAGCCACGAGTTCGTCGAATGTCCCCGACTGGGTCATATCTCCAGCATGAATGAGAATTTCTCCTTGTGGGAGGCGAGGCTGGGTGTTGTGAGTATCCGAGATGCAGACGATAGTTATGGGTGATGATGAGGTTGGGGAAGTGCTGGATCGTGGCCGGATCGCACGCCAGGAGTACAACTTGTGAGCAACAAAGACGCAAGGCTGCCGTGTAAAATCCTCCCAGGCACTCGGCTGAGAGCGGTGGAAGAGGGCCTCAATCCCAGTTCTACTCGAGAAAATGGACATCTCGAGGGTTTAACTTCGGGATGGTAGGTGAATTCCGAGTGCTGATGGTGTCGTGAAGCTGGACGCAAGACGCGTTCTGCTGTTGTTCGCGAGGTGCAAAGGGCGGCAAGGCAGGCAATTCTTATACTTCCGCAGCCTTCAGGGTGCTGAAGCTCAGAAGTGCACGTGTCTTTTGTAAATGACTTCTTCATTTGAGATCCGGGAAACGGAGGCTTCTCTGCGCCTCCTGGGCTGAATGCAACAGTCAGGTAGGCACCCTTACAAGGGAAGTACTGCGAGAGTGGCGTGGCGCTGTGTGTTAGGATTGCCCAACTGCGGAAAGTTGGTGATAACCTAGATAGATTGGGGAACGCATTTCATTTCGTTGGATGACTTGGGAAGGGGGCTGATGACTGAGCACTCGTCCACGGAATGAGGAGCAGGCAACAATCAGTGTCGGACCTTTGGTGAAGGTAACACGTCAACTACTTCGCAAATGAGTCGACCCTCCTGATTGTTCGTCGACCCTCCTGATTGTTCAATAGTCCACGAACAAAAATAAACATAGACTTCCTGTGGTCCGGTAGCCGTACCACCTTTGATGCTATTGATAACTGTGCTTAGACTAGGCATGCAACACATCAAGGTGTGTCTCAACACGGACTCGCAGGTTGCGGTAGCGATTTGGTGAGTTAGCATGAGTTAGCGGCTTCAGCAGTAAAAAGAAACACCCGACTGACTTGTCCCAGGGTCCGAACTCGGGAGGGGACTGCTGTAGGGGGTTCAAATACTCACGTACCCCTTAAGGATCCGATGACGTCGTTTCGGGGTCTGTCGTTACCCCCGTCACCTTGACGAAGCGAAGCTCGATGGATTTCTGGAGCTCAAGCTTTGGATGATCATTCGACACGACGATTGTCCAATTCCTTTCAGGACTCCAACTGCACATTCAGCTTCTCGATCAGACCTCGAACTGCACTTGCGCCATGGACGTACGTATTCCGTCCCTTTCACGAAGCCCAACTAACCGTTCAGCCCGTATCATCCTACGCCTTCGGCAACCTGGGCTGGCTCAGCCTGCAGGCCTTGCCACTCATAGTCTGGCCGAGCTTCATCACCTCCCTCCTCCGCGATGAATACCAACCAACAAGCGGTATGCTTATGCCCCCTTGCTCCTTGCACAGTGCCCCCAGACACCCTGACACCAGCAGCTCTCGAAACCTACTATGCCCGCTCCCTCGGCTTCTCCCTCCTGGCCCTGGGCCTGACCGTCCTCCTCCTCTCCGGCGCCCTGCCCCTCGCCGCGACCGACGCCTCCCACCCCGAGGGTACGGCCTCCCCATACGCCGACGCCGCCGTCTCCGTCTCGGCCTTGCACCATGCCACGAGCGCCTTCTACTGCTACAGCCGCTGGCTGCATACCGGCCAGACGGCGAGCGTCATGGGCTGCCTCGGTAGCGGGGTGTTCGCCGTTTTCGGACTCTGGTTCGTCATGTTCGCAGGTAGCAAGGGGCGTCACAGCAAGAGGACGGGATTCGACAAGGACACGAGCGGCTTCCCGTTCAAGAACAGCGAGGCGTACCGGAAGAAGAAGAAGGGCCTCTGAGGGCGCCCGTTGAAACACGTACAGAACGGCAGAGTGGCGTCAAACGTCATAAAATGATACACTGCTGATATTGTGTTATCCTCGTCGTGGAAACGGATGATTGACGCTCCCAATTGAATACCTCATAAACACCGTTCCCCCCATCGTCGTTGTGACTAGTGTACAATATCTTTTTCTTCCAAGTTGCGACCTCAAATCGGTACTTCTCTTGCGTCGCCTCCAGCATGACACGTGTACTTGGCATTGAGCCACAGTACAGAGCGAGATGCCTCTTTGAACACAAAGAGGGGGGCTACCAGGTGGTGGCAAGTTGTAAAGAGCAGCGCTGTGATCCGTCGATTAAGCCTGTGAAGCAACCTCGCTGTTCTCGCCGTTGGCCAGGGCCGGCGCCTCCGACTTCTCGCGCGTATCGGGAGCGTCGGTGCCGTTCGCCAGCTCAGACATCTCCTGGCTCTCGACAATGCCTGGCACCCGGACATCTGCCGCACCCGAAAGAACAGCCATGCGCCTGTCGTGCCAGTCGGCCTCGCTCTGAATGACTTGCGACAGAAGCACTTCCTTCTCTTGCCACTGCTTCTTGTAGTCGATCTCGAGAGCCTTGATCTCCTCCTGAAGCTCCTTTGTTTCATCGCTGGCCCACCTGACCTGGGCGCGGCAGAGTTTGTAGAGTTTGTCTAGGGGCATATCGAGCTCCCTCCTTGTGAAGCCCTGGTCTTCGGTGAGAGCTGTGAAGAGGTCTGAGGAGAGCTCAGCATCATCATCGCCGTTGATCGAGTCATCCTGGCCTGCCGCGTGGGATTGTGGCGTCTTGATAATAATCTTGAGCTTGCTCTTGCTCGCGGGACCGGACTGCATCGACTTGGGGACCGGGTCAGACGGTCGCAGCGCCTCGGTCTCGTGCACGGTGCGCATGTGCTTTGCCAGCGCGTCTGATCTCGTAAACGCCCGGTCGCATTCTTCCAAACGTCAGCGTACAAGTTGCCTTTAGATTCAATTCGAGCTTTCGTACCTGGTAGATAGCAGTAGAACGGCTTCTCTCGCGTGTGGCTCCTCATGTGAGCCTTGAGCGCATACCCACTGGCATGCGCCATGCTCTTCCGGTTGCACCCATTCCATTCGCACGTGTATTTCTTCTGTCGGCTCTCGATGTGATCGTTGTGAATATGCTCGACGAGCTTATCCATGTTGCCAAAGTCGCCAGCGTCGCAGCCATCCCATGCGCAGTGTGTGATTTGTTCCTGGAAATCCTCTTCGTCTAGGCGCGCGTTGATGGGTGAGCTGGGGATGTCGCCTTCGGTATCCTCAGACACGTCGGACATGCCATCGAGAGGATCGGCTTCGGGCTCAGGTTCCGCTTCATGTTCAACCTCTGCCTCTACCTCTGCCTCGACCTCGGGCTCGGGCTCGGGCTCAGCTTCAGGCTCGTGGTCTGGCTCATGAACAGCAGCGGAAGACGTCGTCGAGCCCTCTCCAACCTTCTGCCTCTTCGTTGGCCGGTAGGCTTCGTATGCCACAGGGGTCTCATTGTCGGAGCTGTCGCTGGAAGTCATTGAGGATAGAGGAGATTCGTAGGGGGACATGTTGCGCCCCAGTCGTTTGACCATGGTGATGCGCGGTCGTACGCGACCTCGGGCGAATGATGTTCGTCGAAGCTGGTAAGACCCGAGGATGCTCTTCAGAAATTCGCGAAAAGTCTTCGGTAGTCGCTGGGGATGCCTGCCGATGGAGTCGTAGTTTTTCGAGCTGCAATTGGCGATTGCTTGAAAGGGATGGGCAAAGAAGCTTTTGCGCGTGGGACAAGAAGTCACTTTCGTCCCGACTCGAGGCGCGGCAGCCGTTGCCCGCAAGGGGCGCTGGGCTGCTAGCTGAATGAGCACGGCCCCACATTGCAGGCAATCGGTGGCAGGCAATTGTGAGCCATCGGTTTATTACGCTCAGCCTGGTGCCCATATCCGTTTTTTCCCCACGGGCGGGCTCTATCCCAAGTTCGGTCGATGGGCTTGGGTCGCAACGCCGCTTGTGTTCAGCTCCAGGCAGACGATGGATGTCTTGTCAGCGCGGGCATCAGCATGGAAACCGTTAAATGTCAACGGCGCGGGCCGTCAAGACCTTTGATCAACACATTCTCCGCAAAACAGCCTCTTCGAATAGTCATCGTTGTCAACGAATTTCTTTATTAGCCGCCGATATTAGTTGAACCAACATCATGACAACCCCCTCGGAATCCAGGACATGGGTCTTCTCACAAAGAGGGCTCCCTTGGGACGTTCTCTCTCTCAAATCTTTGCCTATACCGACTCTCCCACCACCACTTCCACTTCCTAGCGACGTACCCAAGCCCGAGGAATGGATTGTCGTCAAGGTCGCCTTCGTCGGCCTGAACCCAGGCGCCATATTCCAGATGACACTCGTCCCGCCCCTGATCCGCCAGAAGACATGCGTTCCAGAGATGGACTTTTCTGGCACCGTCATTGATGCTTGGCATCCGGGCTCGGACAGCTCCACATCATCCGGCGTCCCCGGACAAAGCCCGGAACATGGAGCCCGGTTCAGGAAGGGCGACAAGGTCGTTGTGATGCTCCCAGCGAGCCACACCCTGCCTACGGGTACTGGCGCGTTGGCCGAGTACGTCCGGGTGCCTGCGCGCTACGCTGTGCGCAAGCCTGAGAACACCAGCTTCGGAGACGCGGCGGGATGCATGCTGCCGGCACTCACGGCGCGCCAGATGGTGCAGGAGTCGGGAGCCAAGCCTGGAGATCGGGTACTGGGGAATGCAGCGAGCGGTGGTATCGGGACAATGGTCACTCAAATGGTGCGAACCATTGTCGGAAGCGAGGGTCGCGTAGTCGGTATATGCAGCGAGAAGAACGTGGGCATGGTAAAAAGCCTGGGAGCTGATGAGGTACGTCTGTGATTATGGGTGTTGCAAGCAAACGCGACCCAGACTTCAAAATACGAGAACTGACGCTGTTCTTCAGGTCATTGATTATACGCAGCACGCCGATAGCCTGCCTCAGTACTTGGCCACCCGCTTCTCTTCTAATCCGTTCGACACGATCATTGACACTAGGGGCCATCAATCTCTCTACCTCGCCTCTCCGAGCTATCTGGTTCCCAGCGGAGTCTACTCGTCAGTCGGTATCAAGCCGCCCACATTCTTTGTGCCTGACTTTCTACGCGCCGTCTTGCAAATGAAGCTCAATGAGTGGTGGCCTGTGTCGCGTTGGCTCGGCGGTGCTGGACGCCTCTGGCGTGGCGTCAGCATGATGAATCCCACGTTGGAGGACCGGCAGAGCGTTATTGACATGCTCGAGAGGGGGGACATCAGACTCGTGCGAGACAGTATCTGGGGGTTTGAGCAGGTAAAAGAGGCGTATGCGAAGCTAGGAGGCCTACATGCCGCAGGCAAGGTGCTTGTCAGGGTAGGTGCTGGCGTTGGCGACGACGAATGTTGATCCCTAGCTCCACATTGGCCTGGAAATCATATGGAGAAGATGTACGATCTAGATTGTCATTTATCACACTCTGCTCTCGAACCGCAAAAAGAACACTTCGGATGTTGGGGTCATATGCTATGATCACAAATACCATTGAATCGATGGGTCCGAGGGATCGCTCCGCTTGTTGTCATTGAAGAATTGCTTTGAGCCAGTCACCATGAGTTCTGTTCCTTGCGATGCTATGAAGTCAACGGAATGGAACCTGGTTCGTGAATCAAATGTCTGACCATAAAAAAACAATCAATAGAATTGGGCCACTATATGTGAGAAAGAACATACATGAGAAGCCATATGTCGAAGAGTTGGTTACACTGTAAGCGCAGCACTATACAGCCCTTGGCAGAGTTGCTACAGCGGTCGACGTAGTAGAACTGAAGCGACCAGAACGGGCCCGGTGACTCAGCTGAGAACAGCTGTGGCCAGCTATCGAGGCGGGACCGCGAAAACGGACTCGCCCCAAGGAGCACAGACTAACCTACCCGTCTGTTACGGACCATCCCTTTTTTTGCCCTGCATGCCCATGCCGTTTGTTGATGTTGCCCCTCCCCCACTACCAAAACACCACGAGCCCTTGACTCCCCTCACTCCCACACCGCATACTCGTCTGCATCTAGCCGTGCCTGGCATCAATAGACAACTCGACTGCTTTTTCCTTTTGCACGATTGTACACCTACCCCGCACCACCATGGCCACCACACCCAAGCTGTTCTCCCTTGAGGGCAAGGGTCTCAAGCTCGACACAGCCGAGGACCTTGAGGCTCACATCGCCGACCTGCGTGCCAACGATGTCGAGGAGGTCAAGGTGCTTGGCAACACGTTCGGTATCGGTGCTTGCAAGCTTCTTGGTGAAGTTTTGGCCGAGAAGAAGAACCTCCAGGTAAGACAGAACCCCCCCCCCCCCTTCTCTCGCCATCAGCAAGAGGCGCAACAAGAGCTGATAAGTATGGCTTCTTCCAGTCCGCCGACCTGTCCGACATGTTCACGGGACGCCTCCTGAGCGAGATTCCTGAAGCCCTGTCGTCCCTCCTGACATCGATCACGAACCTCCCGAACCTCCGCACGATCAACCTCAACGACAACGCCTTTGGCCTCAACACGCAGGCACCCCTCGTCGCCTTCCTCGCGGCTCACGTCCCTCTCCAGCACCTCTACCTCAACAACAACGGCCTCGGCCCGCACTGCGGTATCCTCGTCGCCGATGCCCTGTCCGAGCTGCACGCCAAGAAGGAGGCCGCGCGCAAGAAGGGCAAGGAGGTGGCCGACCTCGAGACGGTCATCTGCGGCCGCAACCGGCTGGAGAACGGCAGCATGCAGGCCTGGGCCAAGACCTACCGTCTGCACAACAAGATCAAGGTCATCAAGATGGTGCAGAACGGCATCCGCCAGGAGGGCGTCTCGCACCTTCTGAGCGAGGGCCTCGTCCACGCCCAGGGCCTGCGTGTCCTCGACCTCCAGGACAACACCTTTACCGTGCAGGGCGCCCGCGCCCTCGCCGGTGTCGCCCCCGGCTGGGCCGAGCTCGTCGAGCTCGGCGTCGGCGACTCGTACCTCACCTCCAAGGGCGGCGTGCTGCTGGCGGGTGCCCTCGCCAAGGGCAGCAACGCAAAGCTCGAGACGCTGCGCCTGCAGTACAATGAGATCAATGCCAAGGCCCTCCAGGGGTTCGTGCCCGCTGCCAGGGACGCGCTGCCGGCGCTCAAGAGGATCGAGCTCAACGGCAACAAGTTCGAGGAGGAGGACCCTGCGGTGATTGCGCTGCGCGAGCTCCTCGAGGAGCGCAAGGAGAAGGTGGGCGGGGATGTCGTTATCGAGGACGACTGGGGTCTTGACAGCCTCAGCGACCTCGAGGAAGAGGACTCTGATGAGGAGGACGAAGAGGACGACGAAGAAGAGGAGGAACTTTCGACGGAGAAGCGGGCCGAGATTCTGATCAAGGACGCCGAGGAGGCCCAGGAAGAGCCGGTCGTGCAGGTCAAGGACAAGGAGGTCGAGGCGCTGGCCAAGAAGCTCGAGAAGACGGGCATCTAGAGACAGGAGACAGCCTACGTGTGGAGCATAGACGATGCCTGATGACAGAGAGCACGATGCAGACTTGGACACGATACCCCCCCAAATTTCCCCTTTGATAGAATGGCATTACGTGGAGCAACGTTTGAGCTGCAAAAGACTGTGCAGGTTTTGTACCGTAGAGTGACTGGAGCAAGTTCCGCGGGCGCTGGCAGACAGGAGATGGGGCATCTCGCGATAGATCAGCCCACCATCGCAGGAGTCGACAAATCATCAGGAGACCAATGGCAGCCACTGGTCAAGCGTACAGTAAATAAAGTAAAGTACAGTGCTCCTCTGCAGGTGCAGAGAAGGAGGCTCATTTACAATATACGGTATCATTCTATCACACGCATACATCACAAGCAAACAAGTCACACATGGCGCCAAACAAACAGTTCAATACCGAAGCAACACATCTCCCTCTCTTCTTCAACACGAAACTCACCGTTGTCGAGACCCTCTGGGACCTGGCCCTCGCCTACTTCACCATTCGCACGGCCGCCATCTACGCGGCCGCCACGCTCGCGGCCGAGGTTCTGCTGAGGTGCGCGGGAGGCTGGGCCCCGACGTCAGCGCGCGTGCCGACGATGATGCCGCTACGTGCGCTCCTCGTGGCGGCGTGCGCGTGGACGATCATCGCGCGGTACGAGATGCCACGGGACTGGAGGTTTCGGGGCGCCGTGGGCGGGGTGGCGGGTGGGATGCTGGCTAGTCTCGTGGGCCTCGTGCGGATGGGTGGCTGCGGAATGGACGTCGGGGTTGGGACGACGGCTGTGCTGACGGGGGTGATGCCCCTCGCGTTGATGGTCCTCGAGGGGCGCGAGGGTTATGAGAGGGCGGGTGAAGGTGGCTAGAAGCATGTTGGTGGCCTGCAGTTCTGCTAGCTGCTGTTTCTGTAGTTTGAATCAAAGGTGTAATCTGAGATGAGATATTGCTTTCAGGGCAGGCTGTTCGCATCTAAGGGATCTCAGGACCGTTGAACTCGAATGTGGCGTCGATGTTTGCCGTTGACTTGGAAATTAGAGTAGAGGTGAGACACGACTGAATCTGGCGTCCTGTCGTGCTGGGACACCCGCTAACGGAGGTGGCATTCCAAGCTTCTGCGAATGTGTCTGATGTGAGGTCCCTGCCACGCGAGGCGGAGACATTTGTGAGGCCGTTCCTGGCCTTGTGAGTGATTTGTGTCTCCTGTAGTTTCTCGAAAGAAGGGGGCAGCCGAGGGAGGCTGGCTGGCCGGTGATGCTTCATGGTCAGACACGGAGAAGCGTCACGAATCGCTAGAGCGGGCTGGAGGAGAATGAGAGAAGGAGACATTGGACAACCGGCAGGGAGCAGTGACGACTAACAGGGAGCAGGGACGACTGGCAAGGGGCGGTGGGAAGGAAGTGGGAAGGAAGTGGGAAGGAAGTGGTGAGAAGTGGTGAGAAAGGAGGAAAGGGTGAGTGGAGCGACCCATAGTGTATGTGGCTTGTGGTGCGATGCGCGACCCGGCGTGGCGTGAACATTCCTCCTGGTGAGGAACGTTCAGGGGTCGAAGCCGGCCTGCCCTTCACCTCCATCATCACCATCACCAGACCAGTCCTTGTGGGCCGACAATGGAAACCTGCCTTGGCTTGGAAGCCCACCATCCTTGCATCTCAACCACTCAGCCTTTGCCACACATCCCACTGGCCGTCGCCAAAAAGTGTCAGTCTTGATGTTCCATCGACAGGGGCCGATGCAACATGTTCCCCCGACGTCGAGATTAAGAGGAACCTTTAGATAAGCTTCAAAATCTTATCTACTGTCTATTTTAACCATATTATCGATGAAGTCTATCGAATCTTTCGAGTCTGTCGGGTCTATGCAGCCTTGTTCCCTCTGGTCCTCCTCCCGCATGAAACCAAAACGTCCACTACAGACGCCTCGTTTTTGCGGAAAGGGGACCCAAATCCAGGCACGCAAGCCACAATGACACGCTTCCGACCGTTATGCATTCCTCGATTTACTGTTAGCCATTGTCCTCAACTGCTTCTCAGAGCCCCTGGTCTGGACCTTCAGCGCCTCCTCCTGGCTTCGTCCGGGCGAGACACTTCTCATGCTCGTGGCGACCTGGAAGGGCCAGCGGTTACATTCCTCACCAGGAGCGGGTGTCTCGCACCTCACCCGCCTCGCATGGCTTACAGATGATGGATACCGAACCATGGAGTATAAGTGCTTCAGGATCTGATCCCATCATCTGGATGTTCACTCTCTTTGCTCCCCATCGCTATACCCTCCCAGACCTCACACAGCAAGCAGCGCATCCATCAACATGCTGGGAAAGGACCTTTTCACCTCCGCACTTCTGTTTGCAGCGGCTGCCAGTGCCAGTCCCTACAACAAGAACCTTGACCACGATGGACCCAAGTCGGTAGAAATCGCCGTCCAGACAGTGACAAAGGTTGTGCATCTTCAGAGCACTGCCAGTCCCACTTCTGCGGCACCCAAGGAAGACGACGAGAACCTGCCCGTCGTCGACGAGCCTGTCGATGACCTCCAGAACATCACTGAGCGCGCAGCTGTAGCGGGCTACAGGAATGCTGTCTACTTCACGAATTGGTAAGATCGCTCTAGATTCACCCAAACTTGAGATGCGAATGCTGACTTCTCTCAGGGGCATCTATGGCGCCAACCACCAGCCTGCAGACTTTCCAGCTGACAAGGCCACCCATCTTCTCTACTCGTTCGCTGACATCAGATCCGATGGTCAAGTGTAAGTCGACCGTTTCCAAATGGCACGCATCTGCCGCTAACAATCTACCTAGCGTCTCGTCCGACACATATGCCGACCTGGAGAAGCACTTCCCTGGCGATTCCTGGAACGAACAAGGCACGAACGCCTACGGCTGCATCAAGCAGCTTTACCTCAGGAAGAAGAAGTTTCGCCAGCTCAAGCTTCTTCTCTCCATTGGCGGCTGGACATGGTCTCCCAAGTTCGCCCCTGTTGCGCGTACCGAAGCGGGCCGTCAGCGCTTCGCATCGAGCGCCGTTGCTCTCATGGCTGATTGGGGGTTCGACGGCATTGACATTGACTGGGAGTACCCCAAGAATGCCAATGAGGCGCTCGACTTCGTTCGGCTCCTGGCCGCCTGCCGCCAGGCCCTGGACAACTACGCTGCCAGGTACGCCAAGGGCTACCGGTTTCAGCTGACCATCGCCGTCCCCGCCGGTCCTACCAACTACCGCGTTCTTGACATGAAGAAGATGGCTCCGTTTGTCGATGGTTGGCACCTCATGGCATACGATTACGCGGGCTCTTGGTCCGGAAAGACCGGTCACCAGTCCAACCTCTACAGGAGCAAGAGTAACCCTGCCGCCACCCAGTACGACACGGAGACTGCCGTCAACTACTACCTCAGCCAAGGCATCAACCCAAGCAAAGTGCTGCTTGGCGTGCCGCTGTATGGCAGGTCTTTTGCTCGCACCGACGGCCTCGGAAAGCCGTATTCAGGCATTGGCAAGGGGTCCATCGAGGCTGGCGTCTACCACTACAAGGCTCTGCCGGCACCCGGCGCCGAGGAGCGCTGGGATGCCGAGGCTGTGGCCGCGTGGAGCTACGACAAGAAGACGCGGGAGCTCGTGACGTACGACAACCAAAACTCGGTGAAACGCAAGGCCGACTACCTCGTCAAGAAGAGACTCGGTGGTGCCGTGTTTTGGGAGTCGGCTGGCGACCGCGCCGGCGATCGCAGCCTTGTGAGGACCGTGTCGAAAGCCATGGGTGCCATGGACCAGACGAAGAACTGGCTGTCTTACCCTGCGAGTAGGTACGCCAACATTCGGAAGGGAATGCCGGGACAGTAGATGATGTTACGGCAATGTGCTATCATGATACATGAGACGGAGTTTAGCATGGGCGCTTGATTTGATACCATTGACAGATAGATTATTACGTAGTTTGAATTTGATTTTTCCATACGTTTCACTTTTACTATTTCTCTTCAAGACAGTGTGTACAATACTCTGAGTCTATGTCACCAGATCTTCCTCAAAATCTCGAAGGCTCTCTATTACTTGGCACTTCCGTCCTTTAAAACCCCTCCAACATGGGTCCACGTCAGGGAAGCGATCCCTAAAGAACAAAGACAACAGCCGCCATGACAATCATGCCAGCGAAGCCCGTGACGCCGACCCGCACGCCAGCTCCCTGATCATCCTCGGCATTGAGCGTTCCGCCGCTCGCCCCCGTCGTCACGGCCTCCAGCCCACCGTTCGACGGTGCCGTCACCTCGGCCGACACGCCGGTCGCGAGGCGCAGCGACGTCTGCATCGTGCGGTCCGCGCCGAAAGACGACGTCGCCACCAGAAGCGTACCGGGAAGAGTGGCCGTTCGGTTCGGAGCGAGGCCGGTTGGCGCGAGGAGCGCAGAGCTTTGGGCGCCAGAGCCGACACCGCTACCGGCGCCGTTGCCCGACCCCCCCTGGTCATCTCCTTCATCTGCATTGTCTCCTCCGTCGTCTGAGGCCCCCTCTTCTTCTCCTTCTTCTTCCTCTTCGTCTTCGCCATCACCAGATTCTTCTTCTTCATCGCCAGATTCCTCGTCGTCACCAGATTCCTCGTCGTCGCCAGATGCCTCCTCATCAGAGGAAGAATCCTCATCAGAGTCCGAGCCCGAGTCCGAGTCTGACTCCTCATCTGAATCGGAACCAGAATCCTCCTCGTCTCCTTCCTCATCGCCCTCGCCACCGTCCTGCTCCTCGTCGGCGGCCCCCTCGTCACCCGCAGGCCGGTCCTGGAGCTCACCGCTGCCAGAGTCGTCCGTGCCGGGCAGGGGTTCGAGTCCCGTCTCGTCGCCAGACGGACCCTGGACCTCCTCCGCGTCACCGGGAACGGGAGCAGCGGGGGCGCGACGGGGGCGGTGCCGTTGCCGATGACGGCGGAGGGGGCGGCGCTCGGGAGGGCGTCGCCGGCGGGCAGAGCTGGGATGGGCTCTGGCGTTTGGACCTGTTGAGGTGGGGGGATCTTCTTAGCGTTTCCGTTGTCATGCTGAAGAAGCAAGGGGGAGGGAGGGAGCCGACTTACGGGAACCTGGGAGAAAGTGGCGTTTGTGGGGATCACGGGCAGGCTCTCGACGGGTGCGACGGGTACCAGGGGAGCGGCTGGCGCGGATGGTACGAGGGGTGCTGCTAGAGGCGGGGACGGAATGGCGGATTCGACGAGAGATACCGACACCGAGGGCTCGAGCAGGTCGGAAGAGGCACTCGGAACAACAAGCTCGCTGGACGCCGCCGATGGCGCTGGAGGGTCGGTAATGTCGAGGGGCAGGCTGGGAACGGCCGACTCGCTGGCGGATGGGAACGACGAGGCGGGGTCGACCGACGGCACGGCGCTGCTCGGCAGCAGGGGCACGAGGGTGGGAATGGCCCCTTCCAAAATGCTAGATGCCGACTCGGAAGACTGGAGAGGGTCGGCCGGCGCAATAGGCCGCAAGGGGTCGACTCCCTCAACTGGGGCGGGAGACTCGAGCGGAAGGGCGGATGACGCCTCAGATGGGATGGGGGCCGAAGACGCGGCCGGCAGAGAGGACTCGGCTGGCGCGGAAGATGCAACGGGCAGAGCAGACTGAACCGGCTCAGCACCTTCCGGCGGCTGAACATCCTCGGTCTGCTCGCCACCGGTGCCGGGCAGCGGTCTCAGCTCACCAACGGTCTCCTGCAAGCCAGGCAGGGGCCGCAACTCGGCGCCCTGTCCACCAGTCTCGGCGCCGTCAGGAATCCCGTCCTGGTCGGCATCAGGGAGGTCGGCCACCGGCTGCTCGACTGGCACCTCGGGGGCAGCGGGAACCTCAGGAGCGGCAACGTCACCAGCTGGGACCTCGGGCGCGGGGACCCCGACAGCGGGCACACCCTCGTTGTCGTTTCCCGGCTCGGGCGCCAGGACGGGCACCTCCCCAACTCCATCACCAGGGGGCACCTCAGGCGCGACAGAGGGCACGGCGGGATCGACGCTCTGGGCCGCAGCGAGCGAGGCCGAGGCGCTCAACAGCAGGACGATCGCCTTGAACTGCATCGTTCTTCTCGTGATCGTTCCTGTGGTACGTTGTCGTTGATAACTCGTTGTGGTGGTCTTGGAGGTAGAGTAAAGATCGTGAGGTAACGTCGAACAGAGGGACAGACAGGTAGGCAGGCCGTACAGAACCAAAAGCTCACAACAATATGGCAGGTATTAATAACAGACAGGACAATCACCGCTAGGGCGTTGCGTGTGAGAAGAAAAAGAAGAAGAAGCAGCGCGTCGTAGAGACGGCAATCAGGGAAAGAAAGAAAGAATAAAAGACAGTGATAGTGAAGGTGAGGGGTGCTGGCCGGCAGTCAAGAAGAGAATGACACAAACATTTGAGACAGGACGAACTTGACTCGAGGAAATGAAGATCGAAGAAAAGGCACGAGAGAAAGAAAGGATGTCTGCATCGGAGATCTCTCGTCTTGACGAAGGTAGGAAAACCCAAGAAAAGGGCGGCAACGAAAGATGGGGAGGGGAGTCCCATGGGCCGAGCGGGACTTGGCGGAGCTGATGTCTCGCGAACCCCCCGTACATGATCCGCGACAGAGGCCGTCTGATGTTTGGGGGGGAACAGCGTTGGAAGGCTCTCCGACGTTGCATTGCGGTAGGGCGGACATGGCACGGGGGCGGTAAGCGTGTCTGAGCGGGACGGCCGTGCTCGGGTTGTCTCTGTCTCGGTGTTCAACCCATGTGTGCTTGTGTGTCTGGGTTGGGTTGATGATGATGGTGAGGTGGTGAGGTGGTGAGGTGGTGAGGTTGAAAGGAGGTCAAGATTATGACATTTAAGCATGATTAACCTTTGAGACTAGTCTGACGGCGAGGTTACCATCTCACAAGCCACACCGTTAGGGACCTGAGATTGACTTTCGTCGTCGGCTCCATTTCTGAGACGACTCGCGTGACCATCATCGATCTCCAACAACAGCGATGAGCGAACATCAGGCGTCATCCCAAGGCTTCACCCAAACATCGCCCAGGAATTCCCAATCCCATGGCATCAATGCACAGGCGCAACCCTCAGACGACACGCGTCATCCCAAATGGCCGTCCCTCCCCCTCTCTCTCTCCCCAGAGTCCAGAACGCGAAAAGAGGCCGTCCCAGGAAACAAGGAGGCGGTCTCGAAACGTCCGACCCCTGCAGCCGATCAAACAACCGGCTCCGAACGAACCAGACACGCCGAGGCCAGCATGCCGCTCTCTCGTTCACGCGGCTGACGTCCGCTTTCGCCTCGCTTCAATGGAACTCGTTTCGTTGCTTCTCTGCCCTCTTGTCTTACTCAGTCTCGACTCGGTTGGCTGACCCAGAAGCCAGACAAACAGCAGACAACGAACACATGCAAGTGCACCGACAAGGGGGGTTTAGGACATGACCAGATGGGGGTAGATGTGCGAATGCCGAGACATGCTCTATCCACCCCATCCCGGCCGGGCAGGGCACGCGAAAAGAGAGAGAGAAGAAAAAAAGCAATTGGAGCTATTGAATTCGCACAGCTAGCGCCATGGTCTGTACAAGTACACGTAGTCCCATCTATAATGAAAGCTCACACGCGCATTGCATTACTGTGCATCGCCTGGACATCCACCCTCGCGCCCAAGAAACCGTGCCCCATGTACCCCTGCCAGGCACGCCCAACCCGGAACCAGATACGGAGCCTCAATAGCAGTGCCCCTAAACGCCTTCGTAGTCAGGGCTACGGTGGGAAGAACAAACACAGTCAGCAAACCTGCTCGGGATACGATGGGGAACGAGGGCAGAGTTCGACGGGAGGCAAGCTGGCAAAACAAGAAAGGGGGGAAAAGAAGGGTGTCGCCTCACATGTTAAAGCAACCCAATGCAGTGTCCTACACGCCCTCGGATTGATTCTCCCCCGGCGTGTTCGTGTTTGAAGCCCCGTGGAACGCGTCGCCGAATGCCGAGTCTTCCATCTCCATGTTCAGGTCCAACCCATCGCCAAGCGAACCCGCTCCGCCGTCCAGCCCGCCGTCGTAGCCGGCCAGCGCCTCACCCGCTGTGTCGAGGTCACCGAGCGAGCTAAAGTCGTTGTCGCCTTCAGTGAGCGCCGGTGTTCCCACGGCTGAGCCTTGCCGAGCGGCGACGGCAGTAGGTGCCGTTGCTGCTGCTGCCGCGGCGGCGTCAGGGGCTGGGGCCGGGGCCGGGGCAGGCGTCGTGTTCGCGTTCGTGTCGGGAGACACACCACCCTTGGGCACGACGACCCAATCGCCGCTGCCCTGGTCCTGGCCGCTGCTGGCCGCCGCATCCTTGTTGGCGTCCGTGTTGGCCATGGAGACGTCTGGCCCAGGACCGGACGCTGCAGCCGGCGCGGGAGAGGGTGCGCCCAAGTTGGCCGGCGTCGCTACACCCGAGTTGAGTCCCGATGGCGTGGGGAAGTTGAGGGGCGTGGACGTCGACGACAAGCCCGTATGCATCTCATCGAGAAGACCCGCAGCCGTACCGCCCATGTCGATATCAGCGTCATCACCGGTAGCCCCGCTCTGCTGCGATCCGGCATGCGAAGGACGGCGTGACATGTCGTTTGACTCGGCGCCCACGTTGGGGAGAGCGACTGGCGTCGCCTCCTTCACAGGCACCGGCGTCGCCTTCTTGACAGGCTCAGGCACGGGTTCCAAGTAGCCGCCCGCCTGCACCCGGTTCACGCCATGGAGGACCGCGATTTGACGTCCGAGATGCGCCTCGACCTGCGCCACAATGTCGTCGATTTTCTTGTTGTGCTTCTGCGACCAGGCGCTGCTGCCCTCGTCCGAGTCAGTCACCTGGCCCTCGAGACGCCAGAACTCGGCTCCGCGTTCCTCGACTGAGTGGCGGAGCTCCTTCTCCGCGCTGAGAATGGTCGCGTTGGCCTTCATTTTGGCGATGGCCGCCTCGTGATCAGCCTTCATCTTCTCAATCTCGGCATTCGTCGTGTCAATGTGCTCCTGCGCCCGCTTCCTGAACTCATCCGCGAGGCCCTTGTCGAGCTTGCCGACGTAGGGCTTCTTGGGGTTCTCCAGGTGCGCCTCGCCGCCCTGAGAGGAGAAGATGCCGTCGGTGAGAGGGGCGAGCTCGCCCTTCAGGCCGAGACCCAGGTCGGGAGGGGTAATGTGAATGAGCGAATACGGAGAGGACCACACCTCCTCCATCCACTCGTGGTTCTGCTGGTACCGAGACAGTGCAATGTCCCGGGGCGTCAGCGTGTCGAACACATCGCCATAGAGATCCTCGTCCTCCAGCTCGAGCTGGAGGGCAGCCAGGGAGCCGGGCGGCGGAGGCGGCGCCTGAGACTGAGCCGCCGCCTGGGCTGCCGCCTGCGCTTGCGTCTGGCGGCCGCCCCGGCGTCCGGTGGGCATGACCTGCTGGTGAGTGGGATACGCCATCTGCTGGGGAAGTCGCCTCGACTGAATGGGCGCGTACACCTGCTGTCGGTTGCCGCCACTGCGCGGCCACGCAATTTGCGGCCAGTTGCCGCGGTCGGACAGCATGAAGTCCTTGCGCGTGATCTGGCCACAGTTCTGGAGGTAGTTGCGCTGGTTCAGCATGGTCTGGCTATCTTGCGTGAAGGGAACCATGTTGATCGGGAGACGGTCCTGGGGGTCGGCTTGGCCGTAGTGTACGAGCCAGAGGCTAATGTCGGGCTGCGGCGCGTTGATGTTGACCTGTTGCGAGGGAACCAGTCGGAACCTGCGGCGAGCGCGGACGGCCGCTGGGTCGCCGGGCGCGAAGCCCGTCTTGTTGTAGTAGATCTCAAGGTTCTGTCAAAGTCAGCGAGTGCGGAGGCCAACGTCACACGGGCAATTGATGCGTACCAGTCCATTGCCGACTTCCTGGCGGTGGTACTGCTCAGGCGCCCAGACGATGCCGTCGCTAGCATAGTTGGTTCCCAGTCTCTTGAGCGGTTGCCACGTGAGGAGAACCTGGCCATCGTTGGGACGATCGAGATAGGTCCAGAAGAATGGTGCCTTGTCTTTGGCGACCTGGGGGGCGCCTAGCAGCCATTTGGTGACGTGTTGAAGGTCGAGTCGGCCTTGGTTGGGATACTGGTTCGCGGAGATGAGGTGAACGTGCGGAAGCTGCCTTCCGTGTCAGCGCGATGCTTGGAGAGTCAAAGGGACGAATCAATGGATTCACGGTGATGGCCTACGAGCTGGTCCTCGATCGCGTCGCTAGGGTCATGAATTGGTTGTTGCTGCGCCATGGTCAAGCGAGGGAAGGCGCGTCGCGGCCGATTCGAACTCGGTGGAAATCTAGGAAAGAGTGTCGTGGCCTTTTCGGGGTGCTAATGGGTCCTCGGACCGAGCAGCGCTGAAGTGTAGATGACTGCCGATTTAATGAGGGGGGGGCTAGACGATGAATGTTGCGCGGCGAGTGGCACTGTGGTTGATGGTTGTTCAGCCTGGCCCTTGCTCGTCGTGCCGGACGCTGGCCACGGCGCGCCCCAACCCAAATTCTTTCGCGACGAGGCTGCGCACGGACCACCTCCAGAGACACGCAAGGCACCCGTCCGGATCGGGCTTAGTTCAGGAGTTCCGTAGGCAAGGTACCTGTAGGTTGTACCTTGAGGAGTTACATGCAGGCTTCATTTACGGGCACCATCAGTGTCGTGTCATGGCATCACGACCTGTTCACGTCATGACACTTTGAGCAAGGTTCATGTTACAATTGTCTTTCATTTCATGATCCAGCATCTGGCTGGCAAGTACGTAAGATCACCCCATCCTGTCCGGACCCATTACCACAACGCACACACCCCTTTTAAGCCTGGTACGTAGACGCAGAAACGTTGCCGCCACGGCCGGTCCAGTTGACGTGAACATCCGTGTCAACGGGGTACTTCTCGTTGGCGTGCTCGGGCTTGACACGGAAGGTGTGGGCGCCGAAGTAGTCACGCTGGGCCTGCAGAAGGTTGGCGGGAAGGTCCTTGGTGCGGTAGCCGTCGAACCACGACAGAGCGGTAGAGAAGGCGGGGGTGGGAATGCCGAGGAGCGCCGACTTGGCGACGACGTCTCTCCAGCCGGGCTGGGCGGTGTGGATGGCCTTGTTGAAGAAGTCGTCGAACAGGAGGTTCTGGAGGTCGGGGTTCTTGCGGTAGGCAGAGGTGATGTCCTTGAGGAAGACGGAGCGGATGATGCAGCCACCGCGCCACATGAGGGCGATCGAGGGCTTGTTGAGCTTCCAGCCGTACTCCTTGGCGGCCTGCATTTTTTTATTCGTGTCAGTAAGTCGTACATCTCTGCAGAGCATCGGCTTGTGTGCGCCGGAAAGTGCAAAAACTACTAAAAAAAAAAAGACTCACCTCCTGCATGAGCATGAAGCCCTGGGCGTACGAGATGATCTTGGAGGCGTACAGAGCCTGCTCGAGATCGTCGAGGAACTGCTGCTTGTCGCCCTCGAACTTCTGAACGCGGCTCTCGAAGCGAAGAACACCAGAGGCCTTGGTGCGCTCGTCCTTGATGGCGGACAGGCAGCGGGCGAGGACAGCCTCGGCGATCAGGGTGACGGGCATGCCGAGGTCAAGAGCGTTGACGGCGGTCCACTTGCCGGTACCCTTCTGGCCGGCCTTGTCAAGAATCTTCTCGGCAAGGGGAGTGCCATCCTCGTCGTTGAAGTAGAGGATGTCACGAGTAATCTCGATGAGGAAGGAGTCAAGGACACCAGTGTTCCACTTGGCGAAGGTGTCGCCCATCTCCTTGTAGGACATGCCGAGGCCACGCTTCATGATGTCGTAGGCCTATTTTGTTGGTGCAGGTTAGCGTCCGTTCTCAACGTGCCGCCAATGGCACTGCACAGGAGACACAGGAGGCAGATGGGGAGCGGACGGGAGCTTACCTCGCAAATGAGCTGCATGTCACCGTACTCGATACCGTTGTGGACCATCTTGACGTAGTGGCCAGCACCCTCGTCACCGACCCAGTCGCAGCAGGCCTCGCCGTCGCTCTTGGCGGCGATGTCCTGGAAGATGTCCTTGATGAAGGGCCAGGCCTCCTCGTTACCACCGGGCATCATGGAGGGGCCGTAGCGGGCACCCTCCTCGCCACCGGAGACACCGGAGCCGACGAAACGCAGGCCCTTGCTGGCGCAGTATTGAGTGCGGCGGTTGGAGTCGGGGAAGTGGGAGTTGCCGCCATCAATGATGATGTCGCCGCGCTCGAGGAGGGGGATGAGGGTCTCGATGTAGTCATCGACGGCCTTGCCGGCCTGCACGAGGAGCATGACACGGCGGGGCGTCTTGAGCTTGGAGACGAACTCCTCGATGGAGTGGGCGCCAACAATGGACTTGCCCTTGGCCTCGTTAGCGAGGAAGCGGTCGACCTTGGCAACGGTACGGTTGAAGGCCGCAATAGTGTAGCCATGGTCGGCCATGTTCAGAATGATGTTCTGTCCCCTGATCAACGGTATCAGCACGGGCGGGGCGGAAAGGGGGAGGGGCGCTATTCCGGCAGAGACGGTACATCTCGAAAGGAGGGAGGGGGGGGGGAGCTTCAGAAACTTACATGACAGCAAGGCCAACAAGGCCGAGATCCGCGCTTGCCACATTGTCAGTACTGGACTTCGTCACGGAGGAAGACAGAGCTGGAACGACGCCGCCAACAATGTTGACGAGACGAGCGCTGGGTCGGGGCGATGGAGGCGTCAGAGCGAGGGGCACCAAGGTAAGTGGGGGGAGGGGTGAGCTGGCTTGGGATTTTGTTTGGAACTGGCTCGAGGCGCCATCACTCTCAAGCGCAGTGCTTCCAGAATTGCTGCCGCAGAAAATGACAATTTCGACAATGACACGAGAGCCGGATCCATGGGCGCGAGATTGCGGGAATTGACTGCCGTGTCATCGTGGAAGGTGCCAGAGCCTGGGCGAGCAACAAAAAAGAGTTGAGGGGCGGGGTGGTGGGGTAATCGCTCGGGTTTCCGTCATGACGAAGGACGAGGAGAAAGGCAGAGAGACCAGACAGAACCAGAGCCAGATCCTGCGCCAGAACCAGAGGCAGAGGCAGCGGCAGAGGCCGAGAGGTAGAGCCAGAGGAGCCAGATGGAGGGGTAGAGGAGCTTTGACTTACACGGCGCCAGACATGATGAAGGTCGTTTGGTGGGATCGGATTGCTTGCGATTGAAGTTACAGCAGCAAGGTGGGTTCAGCGGGAAGGGAAGAGAGTGGTGGGAGGAGAGGTGTAGATATTTATCTCCAGGCGAACCGAACCGAACCGGAGCAGACAAGAGCTGAGGGGGGTGCGGAAGTTATTATTACGGAGTTCCTGGCTCATAGGCTCCAGGCTCAGGCTCTAGGCTCTGGGCTCTAGGCTCATGGGGAGAAGATGGGATGGGCGATGACAGAGCGCCCCAATCATCGGCGGGTGTCACAGTGCCTGGCCGGGAGGTGAGGGAGGGGCAGTGAGGGGTGGGGCCTGCCTTCTGTCCCCCTCTCCCCTCCTTACTCCTTACCTGCTTGCTGTGAGCGGCGGGGTGATTTTGGGTCTTGATCCTGGTTGCTAGGAGATGCGACATGGAGAATCTCTCGTCTGCACTGGGCTTAACGCCGCGGCGTGCCACAGTCCAACGTAGGGTTTTAGCGGGCATTGGATCGATCATGACGCTGAAGATTGCCAGGCGCGCGTGGGGTGGTGAGCTCGGTCTGCTTTCGCTTCGACTGCCGCTTGCAATCAGCATCATGGAGTAAAGCAAATATGCTTTCCGCGATCCATGTCCACACATATCAAGGAGAGAACGAACCATCTACTGACAGATTGAGGGCGGAATACAAGGACAAAAAAAATGGCGTCCTTGCTACACAGTCCCATAGTGGCTGGACAAACGTCGCATTCACCCCCAAACATCAAACATGACTTGCGAAATCCTTGCTGATCAAGCACCGAGCATCATCTACTGCGCGCCACTTCCTCAGAGCAGCGTCGTCATGGGCGCGCATGGAGGGGCAGCCTGAACCAAGCGGCCCATGGCCCGCATCACTGGTCCAGCCCAAACAAACCAGCCCGGCCGCCGGTGGGCGTGACGTGGGACACGAAGCCATCGTGGACCCCCATTACCTCCAGAACCCTTGAGCACTGTGGTCCGAATCCGCTTCGGCCGAACCATCCCATTGGCCGCTCGCCCTGCCAGTTTCTGCCTCACACTGCGGGTGTTCCAGGGAATGCGATCTGCGACTGCGACTACGGACACCTCCCAAGGCTGGTCGTAAAGCCCAGAGGTTTCGAAATCCGGCGCACCTGCACCAGTTGGTATGAAGTGACCCCCAAATGACCCCCAACCTTCCAACAAGCCGAAGAAAACGGGAACGCCTGCGACCTTGATGAATTGCCTCTGACCATGACTGACTGTCGGGCTGCCTTCGGCCTGAATCGCACCGCCTCCCCCTTTGCGCGGAAGTTAGGGCCCTCCTGCTGGTGACAGTGCGTACCCCTCGCGAATGCATTTCTTTTGAGGGGCATCATGGGCATGATCTCAGCCTCGCCTGGCACCCCTGCCTCGTCCTGAGATGGCGTTCATCCCAAGGGTTTCGGAATCGTCGAGGACGGCCAGCATCTGCATTCCGGTTTCTGCCCGACAATTCTGCTTCCTCACTCGTGGAGGTTCCGCCTCGGGCGTCTATGTTAATGAATCCCCCCTCTCCTGATATCCGGGAGGCCTGTGAGGCTCGAAGCTCGAGCCCAGCGAATTGAGCTCAGGCGCGCTCTTATCCGTTGGGATCCACGCTAAATACGGATGATTCGTGACAAAAATGTCGCATCCAGCCGTCTTCGGGGCTGCACCGAGCCACCGGGCGCCCGCCCGAAGACTCCGCGGAGACTCCGCCGTGACATGACTGATTAGACCGGCAGAAGTCAAGGAGATGTCATGGCCAACAATTCCCTCGCGACCAAATTTTCCGGAGAACCATGAACAGCGTGGGGGTCCGTCCCGCTCCAGCCACACATCGCAGCCTCTGTGCACGTGATTTCACTGACAGAACGCCACACATCCCGCACCAGGCTCCCATCCGTCCAAGGCTGAAGTGGATACGGATTTTTCCACCTGCATCAACATCACGACAACGCGATCGCCATTACAGTTTGCGCCAAACTTCAATACGACCGATATCTCGTCGATTTGACACTCACAGTAACAATTTTAAAAATCATCTCCACTCAAACGCAGGCACTCTTTGAGCAGGAAACCGGCTCAGAGGTACGTTCCATAACAGCCAGCACCAAACCGCGTTGTTCCCAAAAAGCACAGTTCATTCATCATGGCCTACCCGCCCCCTCCAGGTATCTCAAACGCCTCATCCAACTCGTCGCACCCCTCGCTTCCCGCCCGTCCGCCTCCTTCGGCCAGCGCATCATCAGGCGGCAGCGGCGGCGGCTTCAAGTCCTCCTTCAAGCCGGCCTTCACACCCGCCCAATCTTCCTACTCCAGCGCTCCCAGCTATGGCGCCGGCAGCGCCCCGGCCGCCGGCCAGTACGGCCCTTCCTCCTACCCCACCTACCAGCAGCCCGCATCCTCCATGAGCGCCCCCTACCAGGCGCAGTCACAACCGTATCGGTACCCCCAGCAGCCGCAGCAACCGAGCAGCAACACCTACCAGCAAGGCGCCTACAACGCGCCAGCGAGCGCAGCATCCTACGGCGCCGGCCCCCAGATCCGTAACCCCTTTCCCGCCCCCGGCACGGCCGCCGCCGCCGACCCCTCGTACGACCCCGAGCTCGCCGCCCAAATAGCCCAATGGCAGAGCGCCTACTCTGGCCGCGACGCCGCAGGCGCCTCCTCCTCAACCCCAGGTTCCGCGCCTTCGACCATCCCCGGCCCGGAACCCGATGCCGCGGCGGCGGCGGCCGCCGCAGCAGCCGCAGCAGCCGCCGCCACGGGAGACAAGAAGAAGACGGTCGTCCGCGAGGGCGGCGGCAAAAAGTGGACTGACGACACGCTCGTCGAGTGGGACCCATCGCACCTGCGCCTCTTTGTCGGCAACCTCGCTGGCGAGGTGACGGACGAGTCCCTCCTCAAAGCCTTTGCGCGCTGGTCCTCGGTCGCCAAGGCCCGCGTCGTCCGCGACAAGCGCACGTCCAAGTCCAAGGGCTTCGGCTTCGTTGCCTTTAGCGACGCTGACGATTTTTTCCAGGCTGCCAAGGAGATGAACGGCAAGTACATCCAGAGCCACCCCGTCGTCGTGCGCAAGGCCAACACGGAAATCAAGGTCACCAACGTCAAGGAGAAAGGCCGTGGAAAGCACGGCAAGGACAACAAGAACAAGAACCGCGGTGGCAACGGCAGCGGCGTGGGCGGCAGGCAGGAGGGCGGTGCCGATGCTACCTTGGGACCGGTGCACCACGGGGGCGTATCGAAGCCGGGACAGAAGACGAAGAATGGCCTCCGCCTGCTGGGTTAGGGGAACAATGCCCACTTGGGAAGAACAAACGCGCAACGTGTGAAGAGTTGCGTGGTTTGGGCGACAGTCTTGTGTTGCAACACTTTCTATACAAAGCACGCTGCATGGATAAGGCGCATGGGACGTTCGGATTTAATAAAATATTTTAATACTCAGTCAGGGAGCGAGCATTGATGTGTCAATCCTCGTCCGGAGTTGTATTCGGGGTATCATCAGATCAGATTTAGCAGCACAATCGCCTCTTGCGGGCACGCATGTGATCTGCTCCTCCGCGCACCATACGGCGTGCCTCTGGCCCTTCTGTCTAGATCCAAAAGGCTCACAAGGCTTATGTACGCCGTCTTCTCATCTTCTGCTTCAGCGCTCGCCATTCTCAGGCGTCGCATGCTGACCCCTTCCGAAAAAAAATAATGCCAAAATACCTACAAAAGATTTCTCTCTGCGAACGACCAGTCATGATGACTGGGCTGCTCAATTGTCCCGATGAGCTTGTGCCGTCCGAGACTCCTGAGCCTCAAAATGTGCGTCCTGGGCAGGATTGGGAATAATGTCGCCATCGAGAGTAACGAGGTTATCGTCAATATCGGCACTCGACCGTGCTAGCAGACCAGCTTGCTCGCCCACGACGTCCTCGGTATCACTCCCGCTGTCGTTAGAAGCGCTGTCGGGCTCCGCGTGTCCACGATGGACATCCTCTTGAGCCTCCTGTCGCATCTGGCGAATCTTCATCCAGTTGTAGGCGACAATGGCAAGCATGGTAGTGACAAGCCCAACGGCGTTGACGGGAGTGAGATGGTCTTCGAACACGAGGGCGGCGGCCAAAATGGTGACGACCTCTTTGAAAATTCCAGCAATCGACAACGTGACCACTGAGGTCCGCTGCAGCAGAGCGAACTCGGAAGCCGTCATGAGAAAGGCGATACAGCCGGGGAACAGCAGGAAAAGGGGGGTCATGATGATGCCCCACTCCTTGACGAGTGCTTTGAGTCCTTCGAAGAGAGCAGGGAATCCTTCGACGGGGATGGCGATTGCCATCAAAACCACAAACATGACGGGTGCTAAGAAGAAAATGCTAGAAAAGGGGTTGGATGTGGCAGGGTTGCGCAGTAGAAGAATCTGAGTGAGGGCCCAGCGGAAACCAGAGAAGAAGGCGGCGGAAATGACGAGGACGAAGCCACCAAGCTTGAACTCGACCTCGCCTGATACCATGAGAACGACGCCGGCAGTCATGGTGGCTATGATGGCAACAAGTCTCCAGGTTGGTTTTTCGAGTCGGAAGATAAAGGCGAAAATCAGGACGAATGCTAAAGACGAAGACTTGCACATGGCTTCATAATGTTAGCAAGGGCAGCAACGACGGACGGCGCCAGAGTCTGCGATGACGTACTGTAGAAGGTCAAGGTGATAAACTTCAGGGACGTGTTGCCCAAGCCGATGTCGAGCCCTGTCGCCGCGCCGCAAGGCCCGATACGCGTGAGGTAGAATAATTTCGACATCAAGGGCCGATCGGGTTCCGTCTCGTGTCGTGACCGACCAGCATCCGAGTTATGTTGGGCATTCTGAGGTCGTAATGACGGGATGAAGTAGAGAACCAGGCCGGACAGGGCAAACTGGACAAGCATGTGACAGCTTGTCGTGAATAGGGGGAATGCGAAATTGAGACGATCCTTGTCGAACATCCACTTGTTGTACTGTAGGACAACGGGAACGGAGCGTCAGCTTCGGAGGGCACGGAGAAAATCGGCTGATGGGGATGTCGCGACGTACCAAAGAGATGCTCAGTGAGAAAATGTACCACAACAGGATCAACGAAGCGTTGATGGCCAGGTTCCTGACGACGTTGTGATCGGCCTCCTTCTTCTCCTCCGCCGTGATATCACCTCCTCTTGCTATCCTCTGGTCGAGGAGCGTGTTGCGTCTCTTCTTCTGCCGCTTCCGCCTCCTGTCCTTCTTTGTGAGCCCCGTCTCCTCGTCATCATGTAGGTCCTCGTCCGAGAAGCTGTCATCCGCGGGATCTGCAGAGGCTGATGGGAAAGCGTCTGGAGCTTCCTCCGAGATCTTCGGCTCCTCAGCAAGGCCGCCTGGTGCTCGGGCGCCGGGTGTTCGAAGCGACTGTGCGCGAGGGCGGGCCGCTCTGTCAGGTGTGCTTGCGCCGACGCTCTGCATGAGACTGCTGCGGCGCCGGCGATGGCCGGCACCGGTCATTGGTTCCATCTCAATGATGGGCCCGGACGAGGGGCCAGTGGCGGCAAAAGGAGAGGAAGACGAGGAGGACGCTATCGAGTGTGTGAGGGCATTCGAGGTGGTCGCGTGGGTGGATGGACCAGACAGGGGTTCGGGAAGCGATTCGAGATCGTAGACGCCGTCGAGAGGAGAGGGAGAGGATGCGCGAGTGGGTCGGTCCTCGTTGTGGGAAGATGGGGTATCTAGAGATGGTCGTGACCGCGCGGAGGAGGGAGGAGAAGCAGATGTAGGGTCAAGAAGGCGGTCAAGAGATGGTGAAGGAGGTGTCATGTTTTCAACTCGTGCCTGGTCCCGATGCACGATCCAGTGCCGGTCCAAGTGGCAGTACTGGTCCAGTCCTGTCTTGGAGTGAGGAGACGAGATGTGCCCAGGGCTCCAGTCTCCAGTCCACCGGCGGTCACCAGCGTGCCGATTGACCATACCATACCACGGCAGGTCCACGGCTACAGCCACCACACGGTCCACTTTGCGCACAGCAGGGTTGGGCGGGATCCACCAGTGGGCCACTTCTGGCGGTCACAAGTGCATAGTCAGTCGGTTTGCTGGGCAGCTGCTACCCGAGCCAGGCACGTTCGTCCTCGGCCTGGACAGGCGGTTAGGACCAGAAAGGTATGGGTGGCAAGCCAGGAGTGGCTGGGCGACCTGCGGAAGGGATGGTCCTTCCCATCCGTTGGCCCCTGCCGTGTGTGTGTCGTGGATCGGTGGGGTGTCTTGGCGCATCTCCAGTGGACTCGCTTGCAGTTGGGTCGCTCATTAGGGTCGGCCACAGGCGGGACTTGGGGAAGGCTCGGGGACCACCCCCTTGTAAAGATTTGGGACTAAGGGACAGCTGGGGACGAGGAGATGCAAGTGATGAGGGGGGGGCCATCGTGTGTCGCATGATGCCAACACACTGCTTCTGCACCCCATGCGAGGGTTCCCTTTCCTTGGACCGTGCTAAAAGCTTTCAGGATCGAGTCACCTATCCAGTCTCACTGCTTGACTGCGTTTGCCTCTGTGCTTTCAAGCTTATGCATCTGCCCCCGGTCAGGAGATGGATGTGTATCACATGCCTATGCCAATCACAACATAGCCCACTGGATCATGTCTGAATATACTCATGTCTAAACGTCATTATGTCTAATCGTCACCATTTCTGAACGGCATCATCTCTGAACGGCATCAATTGTGAAAGTCAGCAGCTACATGTATCTCTAGACGTAATCATATCTATGTCGGCGGGGACACTTTGATAGGTCGTCCCGTCTGTACATCCAGTAGTGGCCGCAACCCGGAGCCCAGCACTGTCGCTGCCTTGTTCTCGTCGCAGTATAGTGTTCATTGCTCTCATTAGTTCTGGCGCGACAACAATCAACACAGCAACTCATTCATTCAGCAGCCAAGCGAGTGTTGATCTGGCTCATGTGTCCATCAAGACGCAATTCGAGCTGCGAAAATCGGGCATTGACCTGTTGAACCCGAGCATCGACCTATTGAACTTGGGCACTGATCTCGCGTAACGACACTGAAATCGTCTCCAAGCGTCGCGAAACAGACACACCCTCGGTCGCTGCTGGGGTATTCGCACACAGCGCAACGAAGAATTTCTGCGTGCGTCTGAAATCTGGCTGCTCGGCTTGATCCATCTCGATTGTCGTGACTGGGAATGACGAGCCCTTCCTGGCAATGCAGTTGCCAATTTTGGAAAACTGTGAACCGTTATCCCAAATACCTGTGGTAGGTATTCACTATGCCTATGGCACGTGCACTCAAGTGTACAGGCACGGAACATCACGTGAAAGTCAACCCGTTAGGCTAACAACAGGCTAACAGAGTTGTGGCGGCCTGGCCGTCCCGGATCCAAGACAGCATTCGTGCGCACTCGCCTTCATCACGGATCAATCTATGTGTGTATAACTGGGAAAGGATAAGGAGTCCCCCTTCCATCCTCTTTGTATAGATGATACCGATCTAAGCATTTCACGGTTATTTCATTCTCACTCGGCATCTTCACGGTAAAAATGCTGCCATGGCACTCCTTTTCCGTCTCCTATTTTGTTTCTATTGTACACGCCTCGACGGCGTCTTGGTGTAAATCCAAGGCTCACAGCCAAGCTTCCAGAGACAATCGCGAAAGAACATGGCATGAGTCCTGACATTTTAACTCGCCAGTGGGGTGAATCAGCTGTCATGAACAACCCTCGCACTTTCAGGCCTCTCTGCTCCGCCTTAGCTGTGATTCTGGAGGCGTCAAAGGGCATCTTGAATGCTGTCCGCAGATCAGAGGGCTATGAATCGACCATCATGGTAATTTCCAAGTTGCCCCTCCCGCTTTCTTCGCGGTTGAGATGCCTACTTGCGGGACACCCATGCGGCACCAGCAGACATTGCCTCGCTAGAACAGGCAACCCAGTTCTGCTTCGAAATTAGCTGCTCTTAAAGGTCAACCACCGCTCTGCAGGCCAAGGCCAAGGCCAGTCAGTACGTGTTGTAGGATTGGGGATAAAAGCAAACATGAAAGCCGACGCAGATTGGTCATCTCAGACATTATGCCAATCAAGGCCATTTAAATGAACATACACAAAACTTTGTGCGCCCGCATAGATTGAAACATGGGAGCCAAGGACGAGGTCGATCAGTTGAGGAGATGATTCGAGACATTCCTGGCGTCTCTCTGCCGGTGAAGAGGTCATGATGCCGTGAGAGGAGACTGTCGCTGCTGACTAAGTTTGACGTAGATTGCCCGACACTCGTGGACATTTCATACCTACGTACCTACCTGAGGTACCTGTCCCAGCACTAACGGAGCTTTAGGTTCGAAAGGTTACGTACCATGTAGGTCGGTAGGTAACACAAGAACCTCCTTAGGTGGGGAAGGGTACGAAAGGCAGGGACCTGAGGTAAGGTAGCTGGGGAGGTGTCATTGCCAGATCCGGCGTGAACCGCAAGTCACAGGTGCCAGCCAAGCTGGGACTGGATCTAGATCAGTCATGCCCACCGCGGGGACAAGCCTTCAGACAGTCCTCAGAAAGCCATCGTGGAGTTCCGCAGCTGGCTTGAGCCTGAGCTGAACAAGACTTTGGTCCATCACACCTCTTATCGTCATTCCACCCCCTCGCGCTCACGGTAGTTGCTTCACAATTGCCCCCATCTCCGCCCCATCCGGCCCCTACCTACAGATCATCAATACCAGCCAGCATCTATCTTGCCATCATCATGGCTCATCAATGCTCCACCAAACATGCCCAGAATAGCTCCAACACGGGTTACCTGCCCATTGAGGACTATGGCATGATCGGGAACATGCACACCTGCGCCCTCGTCGGCATGAATGGTTCCGTGGACTTCATGTGCTGGTGGGTGCCGCCGCGGCGCTGCTACTACAGATCATGGCCCAGAATTGACTAGAAGGGTAGGCCTGACTTTGACTCGCCTTCCGTATTCTGTCGTCTCTTGGATAAGGACAAGGGAGGTCACTTCAGCATCAGCCCCCCGGCTGCGATGCAATGCACCACCAAGTGAGTCCGTTCATGCACATTCGAGACAGGCTCAGAAACTCATCTGTGCCAAGGCAGCAGTATCTACCGTCTTCGAACATTCTTCAGACGAGGTACATCCATGATGAGGGTGTAGTTGATCTCATCGACTTCTTTCCGCGTCCCAAAACTGCCACGGCCATATACAAGGATGTCCGCCACAGCGCCTACCGTGAGACGTACCAGATTCAGGAGGAGCTCAAGAAGTGGCTGGTCCGCCGTGTTGAGTGTATCCGAGGGGAACTCGAGCTGGGTCAGTATGACGTCCCTCAGGCGGTGACTCCCGGCTGCTAATGCAGCACCTATTCAGATGTTGAAATATTTCCGGCCTTCAACTACGCCCAGGAGGGGCATACGACGACCCTCCTCCAGACGTCCTACAACCCAGGAGCCGAGAGCAGGACGGCTACTTTCCACAGCAAGGACACAAAATTGCAACTCGACGTCATTGTCGATCGTGGTGATGTCGAAGCAGGCGCTGCCCCCGGGATATGCTTTCACACTGTGAAGCGAGACGGCATGCCCGGCGAGGGTGTCGTAGCCCGCATCAAGGTCCACGAGGGCCAAGCCGTCTCCTTTGTGCTCCGAAAGGACATGCCGAACCATGTAACGGACAATGTCACGACGGATGTGCTCGACAAGCAGCAGCACGACACCCAGTCGTTCTGGTACCAGTGGATCTCGCGAAGCAAGTACAAGGGGCGCTGGCGCGAAGTGGTGCAGCGGAGCTTGATGATTCTGAAGATGCTTACCTATGAGCCGACGGGCGCCATCATTGCAGCTCCGACTTTCTCTGTCCCCGAGGACATTGGCGGTGTCAGGTATGCCCGTTGCTCACCTGTTTGACACCACAGGTCTTCGGAACTGACAGATCGGGCAGGAACTGGGACTACCGATTCTCGTGGGTTCGCGACTCGAGTTTCACCATCTATATTCTACTGCGCCTAGGGTATTCAGAGGAAGCCGATGCTTACATGGGTTTCATCAGCGAACGCTTTCTGAAATCCCGTGGCCCTGAGGGGGCTTTACCCATCATGTTCACCATCCGGGGTGAGACGGACATTCCCGAGAGCGAGCTCGGTCATCTCGATGGCTACCGCGGTAGCAAACCCGTGCGCATTGGCAACGGTGCCGCCGATCACCAGCAGTTTGATATCTACGGCGAGCTGATGGATGCCATCTATCTGTACAATAAGTACGGAAAGTCGATCAGTTGGGATCAGTGGTGCGCCGTCAGAGATATGCTTGGTATGTGGCCTAGCTGCTAGTCTATGGATTGGAGCTAACCAGCCTACTCAAGATTTCGTGCTTACGCTCGTCAACCGTACGTAGCGATGCTGTGCTTACGCAGAAGCGTCTTGCTAATGCTTGTTCAGTGCCCGACATGTCGATCTGGGAGGTTCGAAACCAGAAGCAGAATTTTGTATACTCCAAAGTCATGCTCTGGGTAGCCTTTGATCGCGGCATTCGTCTCGCCGAGAAGCGCAACCTACCCTGCCCGAGCCGCGCCAAGTGGCTCGCGGCACGGGACAATCTGATGGAGGAGATCATGGACAAGGGTGCGTTCTTGACAGAACTGACGACTCGAGACATGCAGGAAACTGATTCGCACCTACAGGCTACAATAAGGAGATGAGGAGTTTCGTGCAGAGCTACGAGAACAACAAGATGATCGACTCATCCATCCTCATCGCGCCGCTCGTCTTCTTCATCGCCCCCAACGACCCGCGCTTCCTCAGCACGATGGATCGCATCCTCATGCCCCCCGAGAAGGGCGGCCTCACGAGCGCCGGCCTCGTCTACCGCTACGACACGGAGCTCTCCGAGGACGGCGTGGGCGGCCGCGAGGGGGCCTTCAGCATGTGCACTTTTTGGCTCGTCGAGGCCATGACGCGCGCCAGCGTCTACGAGCCGCGCTACCTGCCGCGGGCCGTCAACATGTTTGAGAATGCCCTGAGCTTCTCGAACCACCTCAGCATGTTCTCCGAGGAGATTGCCCGCTCGGGCGAGCAGCTGGGCAACACGCCGCAGGCGTTCAGCCATCTGGCGCTCATCAGCGCCGCGTTCAACCTGGACCGCGCGGCCGAGGCGAGACGATAGGTGCCGGGTGTCCCCGCAACGAGGCTATTTAGGACCACAGATTGAAACACCTTTGTTACTCTCCAACCATAGTAGTCAGATGGCGCCTCGTTGATGCTCTTGAATTAAATGATGCTCAAGTAATGCCAGGCTCCCTCTACACTCACCATGTGCCTGTGTGTCCGCGGGTTGTTGCAATGCCCGCGCCGCACGGTGACGCGCGCGCCTGCCAACCTCTTTTTTGATTTTCCCAAGTCCGAAACGCCTACGCTATGCTTCTCCCTCCCCCTAATCGATGAACTGTGAAAGCCGCATGCCCCCAACACAACCAATGCCTCATTTGGGACGAGGACGGTGCTAGTTGAGTCACGTCCACTAGGAGAGATCCATGCCGTCGCCCTCGTCACCGAGCCGGTCGCCGACAGAACTCAGCCCGGAGCTCGGCGGCCTGGACCCTCCCGACGGCGTCGGCGAGCCGGGGGGCGAGGGCCCGCGCATCATGTCCATCCAGCCGGCGATGCTCGACAGGTCGCCCCCCTCGACGAGCACGTCGCTCGCGTGCTCGTTTCCGCGGCCGAGGATCGTGTCGTGGAACTTGCTGTCCTCGGCGGACTTGCTGTGGCGAGACATGAGTGCTGGGCGCGAAGGGGGCGGCGGTTAGCATGACTGCGAAGCCCGGCGCCGTGGGGAGGGAGCACACGGGAAAAAGAAGAAGCAAAAAAAAAAAAAAAAAAAAAAAAAACCAAGCGTAGAAAGATAAAGGGACAGGGGTGGAGAGAAAGGAAGGAGCTTACCGTGGAGGTAATCCCCCGCAGGCACGTCCCCGTCCTGCGCAGCATTGCCCGTGCCGACGACGCCCTCGCCGATGCCGTCGACGACCATGTCCCGAATGGCGCGGCACCGCGCACCGGCGAACCAGGCGGCGAACTCGTCGACGCCGCGCGTGTCGTCGTCGCCGCGGCAGGCGCGGTAGGCGGCAGCAGAGGAAGACGAGGACGAGGTGGTGGTGGTGGTGGTGGAGGATGAGGTCTTGTCCTCGGGTGCGGCGCCGGACGGCGCGGTGGCGGGGCGGCCGCCCTCGTCGGGCTCGACGAAGCGCTCGACGACGCCTAGGGCGCCGACGTCCTCGAGGGCCATGCGGACGTCGGCGACGCGCAGGGGGTGCTCGTCGGCGGGGTCGTGGTGGGGGTTGTTGTCGAGGGCGCGGGCGGCCGTGTGGCGGCAGAGCGTGAGGAGGTAACGGGCGGCGAGCTCGGTGAGGGTGTCGAGGACGGCAGGGCGGGTCGCGTGGTAGCCCGTCGCGCGGAGGATCTGGAGGATGCAGGGACGGAGGAGGGCGTGGTAGAGGGGTGTCGGGGGGGCCATGGTGGCCGGCGGTCTTGTGGCGATGTGCTGCTCTTCGTGTGGCTCGCGGCGTTGGGGATTCGATCAATGATTCGGGGTGCGGTCGCGAGTTTCAAACCGTGGGTGTGATGGCGTCGGTGGGAAGGTCTAGATAGCTTCGTTGTCGAGGTTCGAGTTCGAGGTTCGAGATTCGAGATTCGAGAGAGAAGGGGAGACTTCCTTGGTCGAGAATTGGCTGAATGGTCTGTCACCAGCTGAGAGGGCGCGCTGCGGCGCAGAGCATGGTGTTTCTGTAGTCGTGTAGCGCGATTGGAGCTCTGGAACCAAAATTGAGCTGGCGCAAGTCTTCCCACGCGCCTATTGCCGGTCTCGTTGGTGGGAGAGGTGCAACAGAGGAAGACCAGCTTTGCGAGCTTCAGCGAGGCACGGCCTGGCGGATGTTGGAGGTCACCGTGCTCGCGTACTATTCGCACATATTTACACTGTACCCATGTGCTCGCCATCCCCATGCCATGTCGACTGCACCCCATGACATGCAGTCGACATGGAGTAGATATTTCCCCTTGAATTGATTCACTGTTCCCTTGGTTCAAGTGGCAAGTCTGAATCTCAAATGAACTCGTACAAGTAAATGAACAAATTGACGGCGCGAAATCCAACATGTACTCCGTGCTAGACCTTCTTGCCTTCTTGTTGTACCCACAGTAGCCCCCTTGTCCGTGGCCTGTCTCGAGGAACCTTCAGTGCCCAGGTCGTAGGTCCCTTAGTCCTAGGTCCCTTAGTCCTGGCCCCCGTGGTCCCAGGTCAAGTGCGGAGGCACTCAACATGCCTGCTTTACTTGCTTACACCAGAATACTTGTTGATCCAACCAAGAACCTCCTTGTGCCACACCAACGAGTTCTCCGGTTTGAGAACCCACTACCCAGAGTCAGCGACATCCTACCACATGGCCTAGCCAGACAATGCACTTACATGGTTCTCGTCGGGGAACATGAGGAACCGGCTTGGCACCCCCCGCGCCTGCAGCACGTTGAACATGGCGAGGCCCTCCGAGATGGGCAGCCGATAATCGAGCTCGTTGTGGATGACCAGCTGTGGCGTCGACCAGTTGGCAAGTTTTGTCGCCGGGTCCCACTTCTCATATGTCGCCCGGTTCTCCCAAATCGGGCCCCCAAAGTCGTGCAACGGGAAGAAGAGCTCCTCCGTCGACCACTGGTTGAGCGTCGAAAAGACACCGTCGTGACACACGAGCGCCTTGAACTTACGTCCAAGCTCGTTGCCCTGGATCCAGTCTGGACGCGCATTAGCAAACGTTGTCGCTGGTCCGCACGAGGGAGTGCACTCACTAATCATGTAGCCGCCGTAAGAAGCACCCAGTGCCACGGCCCGGTCAATATCGACATAGTCGAGGTTTTTCTCAATGTGCTCAAAACACTTGACCAGATCTACATAAGGGAGACCACCCCACTGGCTCTGGATCGCGTCAGTGTGGTTCTGCCCGTAGCCCGTGCTGCCCACGGGGTTGGGCATGACGGCAATGTAGCCCTGCTCGGCGAATATGGCCGGATTCCAACGCGTGCTCCAATTGTCGTTCCACGCCCCCTGCGGTCCGCCGTGGATGAGGAACGCCAGAGGATACTTCTTCTTCTCGTCGAAATCGGACGGCTTGACAACGAGCGCCTGCACATCGTAGCCCTCGGCGCCCTTGAACCAGAAGTTCTCCAGCTGCTTCTCCGACAGGCCGAATGTCTTGCCGTGCTTGGAGCTCGAGGACACGTAGTCCAGCTTCTTGCTCGACGGGTCCAGCACGGAGAAGAGAGAGCTCTCGATTTGTGAGTTGGAGCTGACGAGGAGCTTACCACTACCGGGAAGGAGTCTGGCCTCGATGATGGATCCCTTCTCAAAGATAGACTCGGGCTCTTCTACGGCCTTTTCTGGGGAAGACGGCAGCTTCCACAACCTGACGCGCCCGTGCTTTTCGGCCGCGACATAAAGCTCCTTATCGTCTTTGCTCCAGGTGATCCACTCAGGGCGTGCATCCCAGCCGCCAACCTCATCCTTCGTCACGTAGAACTCCTGTACACCGGTGAGTTCGGTGATATCCGGGATCAGAAGCAGACGCGGCTTGTCGGACTCGTACTGCTTGCTCTTCATCTTGGTGAAGGCCACTTGCTTGCCGTCGTGAGAGAAGACGGGCGCAGCCGCGTAGCCCTGGAGGTTGCCCGTCTTAACCTCCCGAGGCGGAGCAGGCTTCGCCTCGGTGAACGTCTTGAGCGGTATGAAGTAGAGATTCGTCTTGGTGTAGATGGCAGGTGATACGTCGGGGTCGCGCGACACGAAGATAAGACCAGACCGGCCAATGTCAAAGTCAGCCGTACCCCCGAAGGGCGGGACGGGACATTCGAGCTTGGTGCCATCAAGAGCATTGACCAAGCCGGGCCCCTGAAGCTCATAGGAGCTGCCCTTCTTCTTGAGCAGGCCGTACCACAGAGAGTTCCTGTTCTCCGTCTGCCACGCATCCCAGTGACGGGCGTACAAGGTGGAGTATGTCTTGGCGGAGGACAGAGCCTTGCTCTCAGACGAGGGGTGGTACATGGCGCCGGACAGAGTCGTCGGGGCGGAACAGACGATGGCGACCTCTTCATCTGACAGGCGGTAGGCTTTAAGGTTGGATAGGCTGCCGTCAAAGTTGCGAATCTCTTGGACTCTGGATGCGAGGTTAGCGAAAGGCCTTTGACTCACAAACATCTCCTTTCCTTACACTTGTGGGAGGCCGGAGTGTCCGAGCATCAAGCTTGTGGACCCCTTGTCGCCGCTCTTGAAGAAGAGAATGTCCTTGTCGCTGATCCACGTCGGCTCGCTGTACGAGCCATCCTCGTACAACAGCGTCGAGTGGCCGCTGTGGACATCAATGACGCGAATCTGGCTCGTCTTGCTGTGGGTTTGGAAAGAGTAGGACGACACCTGAGCACACAGTGAGCATTGGTTCGCAGGTCGGAGCTCTGGGCCATGTGCTCACGGTGTACAAGGCTTTGTTGCCTGACGGGTTGGGCACGGCGGAAGACCGCCTCGGCGCCGAGAGAAGCACCTCGGGGGTGAATTTGCTGGCCTGTATAGTCATCATGGAGGAGAGCGCGAGAAGCTGAAGGCAGAGCCACGGTGGCACTAGCATCTTGTCAGCCTGGCCGTTGTGAATCAAGGTGAGCGGTTTCCGTTTGCTTTGATTGCGAAGCTCCGAAACCCCTCGAATGGGAGGTCACTTACAGATAATGATAATGGACTGAGCCCCTCGTTTTCAGGCAATGCAATGCAGTGCAGCCCACTCGGTTGGTGATCGACTGATTGAGCGTAACGTAGGATGCCGTCGCAACCGTGACAGGATGAAAACAGAAGGTGACGTGACGGAGAGGGCGCTCCTCAGCTTGTATATGAAGTGGGGGTTAGGTGTGAGGCTCACCTCACCGACTCCCGTGTATGACAGATCTGGGCTCGTGGCCAGTCATCTGTTGCTTGCGGGGTCAGGGATGCACACCTCTGTGGCCTGATCAGGAGCTACCCCGCATGTCGCTTGCTGGGAGCTTCCAGCGGGAAGGAGGCGGGGGCGCTGAAGCTTGGTGGTGGCTGCTGCCGCAGTACGTCTGCAGCATGCAGCTAGCGCCGATCCCGGCTTGGCTCACATCGGCATGGCAGTCGTGCTTGCCATCGGCATGGCATGGCATGTCGTGCTTGCCAACTGCACCAGACACCTTATCTGTATCTTGCAGTCCGTTGTGCTGGCCAATGGCTTTTCAGGCTGTCGACTCCAAAGTCGAGGTGGAATACGATGTGCACGCGAGACCTTGCACAATTGGCGAGTGACCACGCTGTCAACGAATGTCATCTTCGCAGAGCATGTTCCGCGTAGGCACTTAGATACAGCGCGACACCAAGCTCCGGCATGGGGTAGCAAGGTACTAGAATTGCCACTTATCCGGCAAGACCTCCAGCCACAACTTGATTGTGATATTTGTTCTTTGACCAGATGCACCGATATACACGTTGGTCAAGCCGCTCTGTATCGACTCAACACATGCCCCTCCGTGTACACACGTGGTTCGAAAACAAGAGAGCGCTCATGAATGTACATTAACCATTATTCTATACTATATTCTATGTACGACGCGTCTAGAGAACGACAGCGAAAAGGCCGGCAACGGCCACAAGGCCCACCGCGTTGCGCCCGGCGCCGTTGGTACCGATGGGAGGCACCGGCACGGTGGTGTTGGCCGCCGGCTGCCGGGTGACGGTTGTTTGCGTAGGGCAGGAACCGGGGTGCGCCGGGTTGCAGCCCCCGGGGATGCCAGTAGATGTGGTGGTCTCAGGGCACGAGCCGGGATGAGCAGGGTTGCAGCCCCCGGGGATTCCTGTCGAGGTAGGCTCAGGGCAGGAGCCCGGGTGGGCAGGGTTGCAACCGCCGGGAATGCCAGTCGACGAGGGCTCGGGGCAAGACCCAGGGTGAGCAGGGTTGCAACCGCCTGGAATACCGGTTGTTGTCTCCGGGCAAGATCCGGGGTGGGCGGGGTTGCAGCCGCCCGGGATCCCGGTCGACGTGGGCTCGGGGCAGGAGCCCGGGTGCGCCGGGTTGCAGCCACCCGGAATACCGGTCGTCGTTTCTGGGCAAGATCCAGGGTGAGCGGGGTTGCAGCCACCAGGGATGCCGGTGGACGTGGGCTCGGGGCATGAGCCGGGATGAGCAGGGTTGCAGCCACCCGGAATACCGGTGGACATGGTCTCAGGGCAGGATCCAGGGTGAGCCGGGTTGCAGCCGCCGGGGATGGAGGTCGGCGTCGGATCAAGGGACGCGATGGCGCTGGCGCAGTACTCGCGGTTGCGGGCGTTGTCTTCACCCACACAGGCCGTCAGGGCGCACGAGCACACAACCTCGGGGGTGCCGTCGGAGATGCAGGTGCTGTAGGTTGCCTGGCAGTCGTCATCCCGAGCGTCGAGGGGAATGGCCGACGTGAAGCTGGCAAGCGCCAGCGCGACAACGAGGTTCTTGGCGAACATGACGGGAGAGGGGAGTGTGTAGATGGTCTGTTGAGAACGAATGTGAGAGGTTGCTGAGTTGACTTGTGAAAGCGTTGTTGAATGATGGAGCAAAAAGGATACGGTCCTTCAGAGCAAACTTCAAGAACGTTCTTATACGGAATAAACTCGCTGCCGTCCCCACGCAAAGAGCTTGACTCGTGAGCTCGTTCTGTCTCCCTGGTCTGTTCGATTTCCATTTTTGGCTTTCTCGTGTCGGCTAACGAGGGGCTAGTGCTACGCTGGGGCAATCTCGTATTGAACCACTTTGCCTGGCTATGCTATTCACAGGCGCTGAGACCTAAGTACCGGCCAGCCTGGGGTGCGTCATGTACAGTAGGTAGGGTACACGCCCGTAAACATACCCGTGTCTTGCTGAGTGCTGTCGTGAGTCAAGCCTTCTTCGGCAAACCCGTCATGGAGGCCTTCCTTGATGGAAAGCACTTTGTCTCGAAGCCCAGCAACCCAGGGAAGAAACAACGCTTTCGATGTGCGCAAACATTTGAATCTGCCCTGGAGTTCGAAGTACCGCCTCGTGGTCCTGTCCTTGTCTGGAACAGGCACGGCAGTACTAGTTCAGGGGGCCATACGTCAGCTTGAAGTCAGAATTTGCTGCTCGGTCTTTCAACTGGGAGCTGGTCATAGTCATTCGCGAAGGGCGGCAACACCGGATTAGGAGCTAGCCCAGGGGCGATACTGAAACTCGATGGAACCTTGCTGTGCAGATCGTATTTCCTTTACCCTGCCAGAACACCGTCATGAGGTGTGTGTAGTGACGGCGACGCCGTATTGGACTTTGCTTGCAAGCTGGGCCGTCACCCCCACTTCCCCAGCAATTCCCATAAAAATAGAAGGAGGCTTGAGAATCCAGGCACTGCTAGGCCCCGGAAGACAAGCAATGACCAAACCCAGAATTCGACTAGTTGAGTGCATGGCTCCTACACAGCACATGGTTGTGTGACTGCTATGCGCAGCACATGCAGTCGATTCGTGTCGGGCAGCTCGTTGTGTTTTTTTGCTCTCCGGCTGAACCTGCTGCTCCGTATACCAGGTGCAGACCCTACCAAAGCCAGATGGGGGCCTGTTCTAAGGGTCTGATGGCAAAAGGTGCCCCCTGCCCGACGCCCCAACAGTGGAGTCGCGTCCGGGAGTACGGCATCGTGACATGGCCAGTGATTCAACCCAGTCCATTTCCTTCGTCTAAGAAGAGGCCAAGAAGACCAGCTTTGACGTCATGTACCGAGGCATTTATACTGATCGATCGTCGGTGGGTATTTGCCTAGCTATATTGTTGCGCCAGAGCACCCGGGAGTCAATCAGCTCCTGATGCCGATCACGGTTGATCATGACTGTCAATGGCTCGTCAAGCTGCAGTGAGTACTTTTCGAGGGTTGCTTCGGAAGCTGGGTGTCCCGAGAAGCTTTGTTGTTCAGTGGTCTTGTGTTATGTAGAGAGCATGTTAGGCACTTTTACGTGGATTGAATGCATACGCTGCTCAGACAATCACAACACTGGAGCATTGAATTGCGTAATTCACTTGACTCAAACTTGAACTGCGGCGAGGACAAGTTGAGTGGCAGACAACACAGACGCGACCTCTCGACACTGAGGAGATAGGAGGCTGGCATTGATTCTTAGCACGTGATGGACCAACAGCAAGCTCGCCAGCCTCTTGATATCATACCTTGGCTGATGCGCCCCGAGGTCAGAGAATGACGTGGGGAGCTCTCGCATGAAATCTATGTCGAACAATTGGGTCTCTTCAATGACAGTATGCCCAAGAAATGATGTTGAACCTTCTATCAAGTCGTCGACTCAGTAGGTGACTATCGGGCTGAGAAGGCCGTACACCATATACCAGGCCTGTCCTGATGAGACTCTGGCTTTGGACCTGAACAAACTCCATCAACCCCCTAGTCCTTCCCAAGAAGATTGTGGTACACCAAAAATTGCAACGATACTATTCATGAAACTGACCACCGACAACTTCTGCCGACGCAACATGATTAAGTCACCAGGACCTCACCAAACATGTCGGTTAGCAGGCAAGCTCCCGCAACGACAACGAACGGAACTTGGTGTTCATCCAGCAAGACACTGCCTGTAGATTTGACCCGGGTATCGAAAATCATACGCCCAAACGCCGCTCCCAAGTCCCAAACCCCTGCTGCCTGCCCGTTTCTTTTTTTTTTTGGAATCATCTCGATCATCGACCTTGAAACGCCATCCTCCCAGATCAACAACTTCACTTGCGCGCGGCGCCAAAGTTGATGCGCTTCTTATTCGGCGCGTGGGATTCGGCCTCGCTGTCCTCCTCGTTCTGCTTCTTATTCTTCTTGCCCTTGCCAGCCGTCGTCGACGTCGGCGTCGCACCATCCTTGTCCTTGAAGGAGGTAGACATGGGCGTCGGTGCGTGGGATGCGGGGGTCGAACCGACAGATCCAGGCGTCGTGACCTCCTACACTACGTGTTAGCCATCTGCCCCTGTTCTCCGTGAAAGGTTGGACGAAAGGGTCGGGGTGAACGTGCACTGCCGGGGCGATAGGAGATGCTGGAGCGCGAGAAGACGCGGTGCTGCTCCGTGTTGCCCTGCTTGCGGCGCTGGGCGCCGGCGCCGCTGGTGCCCTTGATGTAGTTGTCGAAGCCGGCGATGATATTGCCGTGGGGCGTCGAGTCGAGGTAGGCGGCCTCCTTGGTCTCAATGTCGGATTCTATGGCGGCGAGGCGGCGGGCGACCTGGTTGCGCTGCTCGAGCATCGCCTTGAGCTTGACCTGTTCCTGCTTGTACATTTGCAGGCTCGGCGTGGCGCCGGCGATGCCTGTCGTGGGTGCCACGTTTTCGGCCATGTTGCGCGTTGATGATCGGGGCAAGTGGTGCGTCGATTGCAACAGACGGTGGTGTTGCATGTGGGATGCGTTGCGATTGGCGATTGATTGACAAGGCGCGTTGGGAGCCTCGTCCATGAGTGGCATGGGGGTTCAATTGGTGGGGGTCAATGAAGTAGGTGGGGCTGGGGGTCAGGTGATGAGGACTCTCAAGTGTCGATTCTCGATCGCCTGCGCCTTGCTTTGGATGCTGTTGATGCTGTGCACCTTTTCCATCATCCTGTAACGAACAACATCCCTGGACTGACAATGCTGACCACAGCCCGGTACGCTGAGCCTATCTCCCGCCGACTTGTCCAGCCGACACCATCCCAACCACCGGGCACCTCAGCACAGAGACGTAGGGGCACAGCTCTCAAAGGCCCAGAGACACAGTTCTCAAAGGCCCAGAAGCCGTCACAGCCGATCCCTGAGCTCGTGTTCTGACGCACCATCCAATCAGGTTCCAGAGCCGGCTTTGTTTCGAGAGGTCTCGGCGCCTGTCATGTTTCAACCCGCCATGGTCTTTTTTTCTCGTCAAACCACCACTGCTGAAAGACAAGACTCGACAGCCATTTGCTCCGCTGCTCGCCCCCCTTTCCCACTTTCTTCTCGCCAGCATCCTGTGCCGGCCATCCGCCAGCGGCGCACGACTCCTGATCGTAACTGGCTGGTACATGGTTGACCGCGAGGGAGGAATGCTGCTAGTCGAGACTCCCCTCCGCACCAAGCAGCCACCATGGCTGCGCTTGCACTGCACTGGCGCGGGACATCGCTAGACCCTCCTTGTTCAGGGGGTTGGTGAGCGTTAGGACTGGCAGGACCTTGCTGAGCTAGTAGCCAGCAGCCGGCCGTCAGCAGCCAGCAGTAAGAGGCTGTCTGCATCGTATAAGACTCCGCCTTGGCCATTCTGACGATAGTTGTGTTGACCTGACCTTGTACACTGCCTCTCGTTTTTCTTGCTAAGCCGCTCTTCTTTTCGTCCGCCTGCCTGTCTCTCGTTCGCTCAGTCGCTCACTCTCTTTCTTCTTCACTCCCGTTGTGCTCTGTGCTCACAGGCTGTGCTGGTTCTCCGCTGTTGTTAGGCTGGTTCTCCAACGGTTACTATCTTCGTTTCGTGTATCAACAACATACGTCCGCTCAGCACTATTCAGCGAGACGCTGCCGGTTACTCTCGAGTGACACAAACCCGAAAGACGTTAAAACCCGACGTCTGACCCGACATCTGACATCATCTTCAACATTAACGCTCGTCAAAAAATGCATCTCTCTACTATGCTACCCGCGACTCTGCTCGTCGCTACCGCCCTCGCGGCACCCCTCGCACCACGCGGCCCCACCAAGACGGCGGCCCCCTCCGCCGAGTCCATCATCCTCGCGACGGCGCCCAAGTCGTCATCGTGCGATTCCGCGGCTGACTTCGCCACCGAGTGTCGCACCGCCGCCCAGGCAGCCCCCTACCTCATCAAGGCCTTCAGCGACCACAAGGTCTACGCTCCGGCCGAGATCGCGGCCCTCCTCTCCCTCATCGCCTTTGAGACGGGCGATCTCAAGTACAACCGCAACCACTTCCCCGCGCCCGGCCGCCCCGGCCAGGGCACCCGCAACCTGCAGATGATCAACTTTAACCTCGCCTACGCTCTCGACGTGCCCGAGCTGCGTGCCGAGGCCGAGAGCATCGCCGCCGGCGCCGGTGCCGACAGCCTGACCGACGACCAGAAGAACAAGGTCCTCGAGCTCGTGCTGCCGGACAAGTATTCGTGGGCCTCGGCCGCCTGGTTCCTGACGACCCAATGCGACGCCAGCGTCCGGACAGCGCTGCAGTCCGGCAGCCGTGAGGGACTTAACAAGTATCTGTCCGAGTGCGTCGGTACGGAGGTCACCGACGACAGGGTGGCCTACTGGCAGCGGGCCAAGGATGCGTTTGGCATCTAGGTATTCCGCCCATCAGGTCGGGAATCATTGACCGGGGACTTGTGTTGTTTGGGCTTCTTTTTTCGTCCAACCTTTACCTTCTTCTTCTTCTTCTTCTTCTTCTTCTTCTTCTTCTTCTTCGTCTTCTTCTTCGTCTTCTTCTTCGTCTTCTTCTTCGTCTTCTTCTTCTTCTTCTTCGTCTTAGCATGTCTGACGTGGGGCCTGGGGCACGGTGGCATATCAATGACAATATCTGCTCTGTCCGCGTAAAACCCGTTCTGTTTTCATTGACTATGAACCGGGTGTTGATTTAAAGGAGATATGCTGCTTTGAAAAAAAGATGCTCAGCCACGGGTGGAATCGAACCACCGACCTCCCAGGGAAGAAGATGACCATTTATGGCCTTGAGGTCTACGAGAGCGGAAAGGGTTCTAGGAGGAAGAAACCTGGGCGCTCTACCGCCGAGCTACGTGGCTTTGCTGTTGGAGGTACGGATGATGGTTTACTATCAAGTAGAGTCTCTGCTCAAGGGCATGCCCACTCCGTCAGGGTATCTCGGGCGGATGGGGCTGAATGGTGGAAGGCGAGTCATCCGGGTACAATCTGGGCCATCGACTACAGGTGATTCATGCTCTCTCTAGCCGGATAGCCCCCCTGATTTCTAAGTGAGGCGAGATGATTGTTGTTGCAATCAGAATATTGGCAATACTTATTCGCCGTGAGACCTTTATGCAAATATGGCAATACGGAAGTGTATGAAAAGAAGGAAAACATACATGACTCTTCTGACTATATTCAAAGTTCGTAATAGGTGTTTCAATCATGCTGTTACGTATCCTTTTGTTTGATTACGAGGCTGTTGAGCATAATGACGAGTCTATGAGCGATTTCACCTTGATCAGAATACCTACCCTGGTATCGCTCATGATATTCAAACAAAAGTATTTTGGCCGACAGACCCGATCAAGCATTGGATATCTGTCATGCTAGTCAATCATGACAGTCCGTGTTGACGAAATTGTTCAGCTCATAAGCAGGACAAGATCTCATCACCTACTTCTTCCACGCCACTTACAAGTCACCTAATCACACCTTACAGAGAGCTGCAATTATCGTACTCATTTATCCATTCATTGACTCGTGGAACTGGGAATAAGATGAGGCTGGCTATTTACATCAAATCAGGCCATGCGCATCAAAAAGCAAACAGCCTCCCTCTTTGACCTGCCCTAGGATCTACTGCAGCGGGGTACAGTCACCATCGCTCGCCCGCCCATTCAGGTTCGCCGTGTGGTCCTCACACCTGTTCGGCCACGTCACCGGGCCCGGCGCCGTGTAGCTAGTGACAGGCGGCCAGTACAGGTTGATCTTGAGCCCGGGCTCCTGGCCCGTGTACACGCCGGGGATCTTGACCGTGGGGCCAGGGGTGCCCGTGCCGGATCCCTCGACCTTGATCTGCGCGCAGCCAATGTAGAACTGGGCGCCGCCGACGTTCTGCGCGGCGTGCAGACCGACGTGCTCGGCGCGCAGGAGGTACTCGCCCGGCGGCGTCTGCGCGGGCAGCGTAAAGGTAAAGTTCTTGATGCCGATGCTCGCGGGAAAGGGCGCCCAGTCGACGCCCGTGTTGGGGTCGAAGCGGCGCGTTGTCAGGGCGTAAATCTTGGACCAGTCGCCGTCGCCGACGTAGTCCTTCGCCGCACCGGGGGCTTTGGAGAGGTACACCGAGAGGGGCCCCGGGTGGCCGAGGTCGGCGTTGACGGCGAAGCCGAGCTCGTCGCCAGCCTGGACGGTGCGCGTGGCGGTTCGGGCGCGAATGTCGGCGTTGTTCCCGCCCTGATTGCATGTCATGGAGGCCGAGGCTACATTCTCGACGGGGCTGTTTGAATTGGTCGTCGAGCGCACGTACTGGTACGGACCTGTGACCTCGCCGTTGACAATGAGGGACTCAAAGTTGTAGTGCGCTGACACGCTTACCAGGGAGGTGACGGCCGCGGCCAGAATGGAGGACTTGAAAGAAGGCATCTTGAGATAGATGATGATGTTTTCGTGTTTTCCTTCCGTGTTCTGAGATCGACAAAAGACAGTGGCGAACGTCGAATTTATACTCATGCGTCCCATACTGAGGCGTGATGCTCACTAGGGAGCTCGCGAACCTCTCTGGCACACACACCTCATCAAACCAAGCTCCAGAGCCAAGGATTCAGCTACGCAATATGATCTCGGTACATCGCGGGGTCAACCTTGGTTCTGGGTGTCATCATGCTTCCAACCCCTATCCCACCAATCGTGACATGTGCAAAGGCATTGACGACCAGCAGATCAGGTTCGCACCCCGGCAGGGCACTTTAACGTCAGTCTTCATGAGGCCCAGAAAAGGAAGCTCATAGTGGCCAAGACATGCCCGAGCACGTGTGATTGCTCGGTGGTGTCGGGCAACGGAGGCTCAGGGTCCGCAGGTAAGCTGTCTGGAGCCCAAACACGTTTGACTCCAGTCACAGTAATGATGACCGATACTGACCACAAAGGCCCGGATTCTAGAGACATGCTCGATCTAAAAGCTATGTATCGGATCTGTTGGCGAGGGTTAGCTCGTTGACGAGAAGCAGGGTGTTTCGTGTTACAGTCTGAACCAGCCCGCCACACCCAGTCCGAGTTCGTTATTGGCAGTCCCTGGTTCCATGTGCCCTGCTCCGTGATGAACAATTTTGAATGAAATAGAATCCACTCAAGGTCTTGAAATATCGGCAGGACTAGCTGGATTATCGATCTAACGCAGCTCCGTTTCCATCAGCCTGCCGTGTCCAACGGCCAGTTATAGAAGCCCTGCTCATCAACTAAGGCTGTCCGCCTCAGTATGTACCGATTAGGTTCTTCCCGAAATCTTCACAGCACCCCCGTAGACATTCTCGATTTCTTTCGGCTTTCTCTGCTCCGACAGCCAAGGCTCCACTAATCACCTATTCACGATCAAAAGCTGACTCGACATCCCACCAAGGCGGCTTTCGAGGCCTCTCGGTGAAGGACATGGGACAACCATGGGGCAGAAACGCGGGGGACTATGACGTGAGTCCTCGCGCGGCAATCTATCATGCAGCTACCCCCGCGATGCCAACCATGGATGAGTGGCCGGCAATGCGATGGCTCGCCCGAGGCGGGGTTCGCCCCCAGAGGTCTGCCTCATCCGCAGTCCTCGTCTATTTCGCTCACTTGTTTCTGCAAGTCACATGTCCTAAATCAAAATCAACGGGCTGGTGGTGGAGTAAGAGAGGAATAGATTGAGATTTGTCGAGTTCAAGAAGCCTCCCTAATCTCTAACCAAAATGTCCTAAAAGTCGTGATTGCCTTCCGTTGGATATAGACCGCCTATTGCCTTCGTTTCCATGTTTTCTCCCCTGAAGGAATCATCATCGATTCGTAATGTACATCAACCTGGCTCTACAAACCAGATGCATTGGGATTGGGATATGTGTATCCCTTGTTACCGTTGTTGGGTTGCTGTGCTTGGCTGTTTGGCGCCTGGTCTGGTGGCTGAGGCGCTAGAAAGCCAAAGCCGTTCTCAGTACCCCAATTCGCGCTTTGCGTGTAACTTTCGAAAGCGTTCTGCATAGCTGTCAGTCACTACTCACTCACCCTAAACAAAACATGAGTGAACCTACCCAGTCAAAGTTAGCCATCAGGTCCCCGCCTGCCTCCAGGTTGCCAAACATGGAAAACGGGGACTGCGGCACATTCATGTCAATATCTTGCGGGAAATTGGGCGTCATCCCCGTGCCACCCGACATGCCAAAGTCCACGTCGCCAAAGGTGGTCTGACTATCGGCTTGCTGCATGCTTGCAAGTACCGCTGCTGTGTTGGGCGTCATGCCGCCGGAAAGCATACCCAGCGTGACGGCTGCCGAGTGCTCGGGGTGCATGTCCTGAGACGTATCTGCCTCCGCGAACGGACCTGTGCTCTCAGGGATAGGTTCTGACGGCTCAGGAGACCTAATCTTCTCCAGCATGATCTCGAGAACTTTGGAGGCCTTGAATGCCTCTATTGATGTGTCTGCGAGTCCCTTCCAGACGTCTCTTGTCAGTTCAAGGTTGCCGATCATGTTCATGCGTTGCTCTGGCGTCCAGAAGAAATCTCCATCTGACTCGCGCCGCTTTCCAGTCTCCCTCTTGTCAACATGCAGGTCCATAACTACCATCATGGCAGGCAGCAGGAAGTCCTTTGTTGCCGTGGAGCTGATGTACCACTTGACCGATCTCAGCCTTCCATTCGGCTGAGTTTCCCGATGAAGGGTGGCCAAGTGTTGCAGCGTCACCAACGAGGCCTCTATCGCAGTGCGCCTAGAGTGTGCATATCGTGAGTTTGTTCTCGCCCGCGTCAGGTACTTGCGATGTAAAACACACAGGATCTTCTGGTACAAGATGTCGATGCTGAATCTTGCCATCAGCAGGCTTACAGGATCTTGCGATCCTTCCAACGGCGTCATCTTGAGATGTGGGGGCAACTCCTCCATGATCCCCTGAAGCCTGGCGTCGAACCGGAGAATTTCCTCATAATGCACCTGTCTGCCGACCCTCCCCGTGACTTGTATGATGTTGCCTAGCTCAAGACCCAGCCTGCCTTTTGCGAGAGCGTAAGCGATCGGCGTGGGCTCCGTTGGGGGGCGCGGTGGTGGCATGACTTCCGTCTCGGGGCCGAAATCTTCGTCGAAAACATTGCTGGGCAACTCCGTGTCGCAATCTTGGTCGTGTATCATTGCTGGCAGGGCCACGTGTTGTGACATGAAAATATCGCTCATCCTGACTGTTGCCCAAACGCGCCGTCGCATTTCCTGTTGTCATCTGTCAGCGCACCTGCACAGAAGAGCATGAGGTTATACGTACAGCTTGATAGGGTGTCAACGAGGGAAACCACTTGGGATCCCTATGATAGCCTAATCGAAATGCAACTCTCGTTGTGAGTGAACTGATAAGCCAGAGTGCCATATCAGCATCGAATCGGGCTGAATATTCTCCATTAAGATAGAGCAGCATGGTTTCCAGCGTGTATTCGACCGGCTTCGTGTAATCGACCTCAAGAAGACATTGTACTGTCCGCGAACGGTACTCGGCAGCCATATCGAGCGCCCTGCCTTTCCACTCAGGTGGTTCGTCGCCAGCTTTGCTGTAACTGTGCAGCGCAAGACTGAGAACTGCATACAAACAGCCCAGCCACATCAGAGGGGTTTCGTTTGGATTTTGGAAATGTGATCGAAGTTGCTGTTGGAAGGCTGGCACGTGGACTACTGTCAACGTATTGTCCAGTGAGTTAAAGTATCTTCCGCATAGTGTAAGGATACTTGTCTTCGATGGTAATCCGGCCCGAATCTGCTCTGGGGAGGCTCGCGACTGTCCAAAGAGAAGGGTTGGACCGTCAGATGCGCTTGCTGGTTTGGAATTTCTGACGGTCTCGTAGCCCTTTTCAAGTTCCTTTTTATGATTGTTGAAGTACGTCTTGACCTCAGAAATGTCGGCCAAGATGAGATGCCAATGTTCTTGTCCGATGTACATGGACTTTCCCTTGTCACTATCGACCTTGAGAACACCAAGCGACGTAGCTAGGCCATCATCGATATCGCTGTCGTCGTCCTCCGCATCATCCATACTTGTTTCTGTCTGCTGCTTCGCCAGGGCAGATGGTGATGGGTCGGTTTCCCCGGGCGTTGTGTTGGCTCGGCTGGAAGAGGACGAAGCGCCTGGAGCAGCACCCGAAGCGGTAACCTCGACGCTGCTGCCGTTGTGCATCAAGGACAACACCAGTCCTTCCAATCTATCGATACGATTCTGCATATCATCGGGGGTTGACGCGCTAGCGGTAGAACTCTTCTTGCGTGCCGACGGAGTGGCGTACGAGCATGTCGACACATCCTCGCCCTCTCGTTTGACGCAATTGCTACATGGGTGGCTTCTGTCGCATTTTCTGTCATTGAACAATTAGTCTGAGCATCTGAGCATGCTGAGTGGCATTGATCTTCTTACAGTCTGTTCATTCACATATTAGCATTGTATTCGCCAGTGAGTAGAGACAATGATGCTTACTTTCGTGTCCTGCACGGGTAACAACTCAGTGGGATTCGGTTCCTCTTGCGCACGACACGGAACTGCTCCTCAGGGGAGCGACCCGAGGAGGATGTCCCTGGCGGTGTGGGACTCATGCTGACAAGATGAGGTGGATGGGATCAATGGGGAAACAGTTTGTTGGGTGCCAATGCAATGATCCCGTGGCAGACTGGGGGTGCGGGTGAGATTGACCGCAAGATGCTCTGCTGACAGGCGAAAACTTGAGTGTGGCCGCCAACTGTGCGCGTCTCGAGATGGAGACTCGAGAGAAGGGCGCAGTCCGACAGCCTGTGCGACTTGATGAATCGCCAAGATTGCCGCAGACCTTTATCTGCCGATGCTGCAGCCTTGAAGTTTTGGGTGATCACGAAACTCGGTGGAGATGCGCTCGCTGCTTGCGGCGGTGTCGCTGTCAGGACTGATCTGACAGCCTCGCTGTTGGGTGCTTCAACAAGAACAGGAGGGGCCCGGGTCAGATTGTGGTCTTACGACTGCTAAATAAGATCAGAGTCAATGACTGTGTGTACACAGGCTATGTGGCCGGCAGAGCGCCTGGATGTAAGATGCGATTGGGGCCACGCGAGGGCAATTGGACTTACATCAGTAAGCTCCCACGAAATCTACCAAAGAAGTACTTACTCAAATTCAGGAAGCGAATCAGCGATCTGATAGGCGACGATACGGAGCAGGGGCCAGTTCTCTGAGTCGTGCGGGGTGATGGTTTTGAAGATGATGATTGTGTTTATGGAAAGGAGACGTGACAAATGGGGCAATCAAGAGCGATGGCGCGGAAGAAAATATCAGGGATAGGCAAGCAGTGCTTGGGTTGGCCTAGGATTGAAAGACGAAAGTCCCTTTAGGCTCGGGGAGAAACGACGAGAGAGAAAGCAGGTACGTACATCAAGCCATTTTGCGCAGGGTTGAGGCACGAGGAAGGCACTACCAGCATCGCGCTTAGTGTTGATGCAGCAGGAAGAAGTACCTTGGCTCAATAGTCCAGGGTCTCTACACCAGGCGACCATACCTACCTACCTAGTTAGGTACCTAGTTTACCAGGCAAGGTACCTGGTTAGGTGCCCTAGCTACAGGTACCTCATCCCCAGATGCACGCTGTCAGCGAGGGACAGGCGCCACCAGCATCGTCGTCGTCGACGCCGCGTAGGGCAGTAGTTGCCTAGAAGGATGCTACCCCAATTGCAGCCGCTACCTGGGCACCCACCTACCTGTCTGTCATTTCCCCTCACACATCCCATGCTTCATCCCTAAAACGGTAGGCCCCCCTTCACACTGACGACGCAACAACGCGACGAGGCTTGGGCAATGCCCGCTCGGCTTGGTTCCATGTGAAGGCTTGTTCCGTTAGGGCAGCTTTAGAGTCGGGTCACCTTCCCTGCACTGCGCCTCTGATCGGCAATCTTGGAGGGTTACACCGGATTTAACACTTAACTCCGGCACATTCTCGAGCATCTCTCACCAGCCAGACCCCTTCAGACTGGACTTAAGAGCTTCCTTGTAGCACATCGCGAACAAAGCGTCATGCCAACGCTGTCAGGAGCTCGAAGCGCTACTTTTAAACACTCGCCGGTGACTCACAAAAATCCGAGGCACAGTGAGAGCTTGATGCCGGGACAGAAATGCTCTCTTCGACACCCCCAGAACGGCGCTTTTTTACCGTCCACGATTGCAATCTGCCACCGCCAGTACCGAGTCCCGCCAGGATGGAGAGCATGTTGTTGCTTATGCCCTTCGATTTTCTCTGTTCACGCAGGACGCAGTTTCCAGTCGAGTAGCGCGACCTGTTTTGGCACTGACAATTCCACAGTTCCACCGTTGATAGCAACTTGCAGCATACGACAAGCAAGTGCGGAGGAGCTCTTTCGAGCCAGCGGTTCTAGGACGATGCATTGCGCGAATCGACACACGACGATGATTTTTCTGCAACGCCTGACTGCCACTGACAGGTTACTGAGGACCCGTAACCGTGTTTCCTCCATCAACCTTCAACCTGCCTCTTGATATACAAAATCTGTAGTGCCGTGCATGCCCCAAGCACGGCGTTGCAGCAACCTGGGCTGAGAGAGACAAGAAAGATTCCCGAATCACTTGAGGGCCATAGCATCCGGGCCTGTCCGTGTCTTATGGCAAAGTTCAGCTCGACCGCCCATCTCATATCAGAGGGGCTGGCATCGCTTGAGACTGCTGCTTGTAACCAGGCTGGCAGGCGGTGGTGGAAGTATCACAGGGCGGCAAGAATAGGAAAACATGCGCCGTATCAAATACGAACATAGCCCAGACAGCCTCGAGATCTGGTAAGACAGGTTTACCGTGATAGAATCTGTCCGAGTTGGAAGCAAGCCCAAGTCGGGAGCTGCCAATTCATCTTCCCACAAGCGTTTTCGGTTGATACGCAGGTCATCATTACTCACGGCGTGGAACAGGTCCCCTCAATGGCTTGAAATGTATTCTTGAACGTGAAAAGAAATCATGATATCCCGTATTGTTGAACCTTCCTATGCCGTTGCCTCTCCCTCCGTCTTGACGCTGTACGCTGCAAAAAAGTCGGCATCGTTCTCGAGCTCCTCCTTGACCTGGCTTTCTGTCAGCTACTAGAGGGCACGTGGCGCAATGTCCAGCAAGACGAGAACTCACGATATCTAGTCCACCCACGAGCTCGCCATCAACCCAAAGCTGGGGGAAAGTAGGCCAGTCGGCGTACTCCTTGAGACCCTGCCGCACCTCGTCGTCCGCCAGGATGTTGAAGAAGCCAAACTTGACAAAGTTCTCGCGCAAAATGGCCACAAGCTGCCTCGAGAAGCCACACTGCGGCGAATTGGGGGTACCCTTCATGAAGAGCATGACGGGCGCCGCCTTGACGAGGTCCGCCAGTCGCTTGAACAGCTCCTCCTTGGCCTTCTCCGGGTCGACGGGCTCGTCGGGCTTGGCGGCGGCGTCACCATCGGCGGCGACGCCCTCGTTGCCGTTGACTGTGGCCGGGGCGCCGGCGGCGGCACCCGTGTTCTTCGCGTGTGTCTCGATGGCCGTGCGCACCTTAACGGCGCTGCTGCCGCTGACCGTCTCAACGACCTGACCGTTGCGGATGAGGACGAGGAAGGGCACGGCGGTGACGTCGTAAGTTTCGCTAAGGTCGCTGAGCTCCTCTGCATTTATGGAGACCCAGGAGGTCTGTGGTGGGCTCGTGACAGGGTAGTCTGCAGCGAGGGTCGACAGAACGGTGGCCATCTGGGCGCAGGGCGCGGCCCAGGGCGCGTGGAAGGAAATGATGAGGAGGGTGGTCGGTGCGAGGGAGGCGAGATGCTTCTCCCAGTCGGGCACGCTCGTGATCTCGGTGATGGTCGACATGATGGCGTGCGTGTGCGGTCGACGCGGGGTTCCGGTGGGTGGCTGCGATGGACGTGAAGTTTGTCAGTCCCGCGATAAGCTCTGTGTTTTTTTTGTTTGTTCCACCCTTGGTATGTTCAGCAGAGGACAAATTGTCGACGGCGCACGAAAGTTGGAGTGGTCGAGAAAGCCGATCTGATAAGAAATGGCGAGCCTCACAGTCACAGGACGAGCCGGGGCGGGTTTGCGATTTGGATAAAGATTAGTAAAGTGCGCGAAGTTGTTGGTAGCCGGCCTGTGTCATGGTAATTGTTGCCCGCCCCCGTGGACCGATCGCGGGGCAGGCTAGCTGAGGGAGTTTCGGATAAGGCCTGGTGAATCGGATATTTGCGTCTCAATTGCCGTTTTGATACATCAAAGTCAGACCATGTCTCCCAGTGCCCGTCGGTTGCGTCATATGGTGCAATCCACATGCGGCAACCGGGGTCTTTGCATTTTTGTACATGTCTGGAGCTGCCGCTCACCGAGCTGTCCGCCCCTCAACGCATGGTGAAGCTCGCTGAGATGGCTCGTCATGCCCCGCTCTGCGGAGCCTTGGCACCGCAGGACTGCGTAACCCGACGGACCGGTGCCTCGTCGCCCTGTCACCCATTCCCACCTGCGGAGGCCCCCCCCCCCCAGTTGCCTACCTAGCTGCCTGTCCCCAATCCTGGTGCACAGCCTCTCCGGTCGCTCCGTCCACTATTCCAAGTTGTTGGTCGCAGCTGTTTGCAACCTAACCTTACCTCACCATACCCTCACCTTGTCCATACACACGTCAGCTTCCTTTCGCGAAACAGCAACCCCCGATAGCTGTTTTCGACGAACATTGCCAACTCCTCCCTCTCCCCTACCCCGTTCGACCTGCGACCGACGACACAACGACGGCGTAGCCATCAATCGCTATGGCGTCACTCAATCTGTCCTCCAACGGGCAGTCGATCAAGAGCAGCTACCAGGGCGTTATCAACGGCCCTGCGCCAAGCTCGAGCTCTCCGACATATGCTCAATGGGCGTTGTTCTCCGTTCAGGCCCCTCTTGCCAACGCCTTCCAAGATTCTGGCTCGAAGGAGAGTATCCTCAAGGTCCAGAGCACTGGAGGTACGTAGCTCCCCGCCAACTCTACACAAGGCTACATAGAATGGCACGCAGCCGCTAACCGCGTCCTTCCTAGACGGCGAGCTTGCCGAGCTTATTGAGGACTTCAGCGAGGGTCGTATCCAATTCGCATTCGTCAAGGTCAAGGATCCCAACAGCGGCCTCCCCAAGTATGCCCTCATCGCCTGGTGCGGTGGTGGTGTGCCCGAGAGGACAAAGGGCTACTTCACCACCCACACTGCTGCCGTGTCCAAGATCCTCCACGGCTACCACGTCCAGATAACCGCCCGCTCAGACAGCGACCTCGAGCCTGAGTCGATTGTCAAGAAGATTGCTGATGCCTCTGGTGCCAAGTACTCGGCAGGCGCCTCGTCGACTGCTTCCCCCGCACCTCCACCTGTCGCATCCAAGCCCGTCTTCAACCCCACAGCCTCTTCCGCTTCCAACCCCCTAGTCGCAGCCCGGAACAGACGAGGCGGCAACGTCGACGAGGATGGCTGGGGCGAGGACGCCCCCCAGGTGTCCCGCTCTCAGCTCGAGAAGGTCGACTCGGCTTACAAGCCTACCAAGGTGAACATGGCCGAGCTCACCAACCAGCGCCAGGAACCCTCACGTTTCA